ATTTAGAATCCTTTGCATATTGCTTCTAGTTTCATTTCAGGAGCTAGTTCTCTTTCTGCATAGACAGCATTATACTTTCACATTCTGATAATTGCACATTGTCCTGTTGCACATAAAGTTGGGAAACAGACAGAACACTACAGAAAGCATTTCTGATGTAGTGACCAAAATTCATAAAGGTTCATCGGAGTCAAGTAGCCAACATCAGTTTTGCTGCAGTCCAAAATTCTGACAGCTGACAAGGTTAATAAGAGTATAAACTAAAGGCTATTCTTCTTCTAGAGACTTGATAAGACCATTTTGCTTAAATACAGTATTCATCTTTACACTGTTCATTTTACCCTAAAAATTATGAGGTATCTTTACCAAAATGCTAATTACCCACACAGTTTTCCTCTGCTTAGTTGTGTTTCTGGTCTTGTAGTGGGTCTTGTAGTGGCTTTGCTGGGATAGAATTAATTTTCATGGCAGCCTATAGGCTGCTGTGTTTTAGATTTGTGACTACTCAGCATCAGTAGCACAGCAGCATTTGAGCTGTTGCTGGGCAGTGCTTGCACAGCTTCAGGGCCTTCTCAATTTCTCACTCTGCAATTTCAGTGAGTAGGCTGAGACTAGGAGGGAATGGGGTGGGGAGAGCTGACCCAAATGGGCCAAAGCACTCAAGGCCCAAGGGCCCAAGACTCAAGTCTTTCTCAGTTTATTTTGGCACCAGCCAGCTACTGGGCAGTGAAATGCTGCAAGAAAACAGTGTGAACCAGTAGGGTTTTTTTCAGTGATCTCTGTAAACTGGAAAACAAATTGTAAACTGGAAAACAAATTGTTCCAAAACCAGGAGAAAATTCTAGCTTACTCAAGAAAAAAAAATGGTTTTTGTTCTCCCATAAGCATTTTAAAAATCCATCATATTCATAGGGACCAATGGGATAAATCAGCTATCATGTTTAGACACAAACTAAGCTAATACATACAGATGCTAAGAAGTTACTATGCTGTCATCTAGCTAAAAAAAAGCCACCTGAAACCTTTGTGAAAATTGCTTACCCATTAAGAGTAGATTCAGTGGGCAGATTGAATATACAAGTTACCTGCTTCAAAGAAACAGTTATTTCAAACTCAGAATTAAGGGTTTCTCTTTCCCACAAGGCATACTGGGAAGGATTGCTCTTGACCTTTGTGCAAACCATTGGGCATAGTTTCAAATGGATATTTTTTCTAGGTTGCCCTTAAACATGCAAACTAAGGAACAGTAATTTTAGATTTGCTTTGAGAAAAATGAGCCCCTAAGATAAAAAATTGAGAAGCTCACGGGATCATTTTCAACCCTGGAATTTGAAAAATAACATATGTATTCTACTATTAGTCTGTTCCCATTCAAGCATCATCTTTTTTTTACAGAGGCCTATAAATCAGAAAGTGCTAAATACAAGAACTTAGAAGAACAAAATACACACAACAGTCTTTGTCATTGAAAATCACTTTACTGATGTTACAATATGTTAGTTACATTGAAAACCACAGGCATTTGTATTAAATACTCTCATAGAAGTGGATAGTGTAACGCTGTTATTATTAAAAGTGAGCAGGAATTTAGAACCCCAAATTACAATGATTTGATTTTATAAAAAGCAACATTTTGTTTAGCTACATGAAAGCCAGATTCATTCAAGAGCCCAATGCCTGTAATGTTTATGACAAAAATATCACACTCAAAGCTAGAAAGTTGTAAATTGCAATGTTTCGTTTCGGTGTTTGTCAAAACATTATGCTTCTGTTACCTCAGATATGATTTTTAAAGGATTTTAACTAGCAAAGACAACGATATGGTGCAGACTGTTGTTTTTGCCAATACTAGCCCAGCCACAGTGGTGAAACACGATTCTTCTTGCCTCTCTCAATAAGGGCTAGTACGAGTGAAAAAATAGCTTTTTTTTTACAGCAGTGCCCAAGTTAAGCACTAGCACAAAATGAAGATGGCAGAGCCAGTTGGTCTATACCACTCCAAAAGCTTTGCTGAAAGAACCGGTCATACCATAAATAGTGTTTTCTCCAGCAGATTAAAAATTCTGTAATGCTTTGCTATTCTGAAAAAAATACTTTGCATTTATGCAATGATAAAAATAAGTACTGTATTCTATATAAAACATTACCTATTGTAATATATTTTTACCCTTAAGAAAAGAAAAATCAGGTTATATATTCACAGTTTGAATATATTCTGGACTGTATTTCCAAGCATAAAATATGCAGAGTCTACACAGGCAGTGAGCAGGAGTTCTTGTACCAATAATCAAAATAAATCAGCATTTACTGTTATACAGAGCCTTACAATATTGCATGGTTATCTGCTCGCATCACTATACTTACAAGGTCAGTCAGGCCTATATACAGAATTTCTAACATGGTTGTAAAAATAGACTCTCCATGCTAAAGTTAGAATATATTAGGTCTTAAGGCCTCATGTTGATTTTTTAAACAAAAATTTATTTTTTTTTACTCATAGGAATACAGAAATAGAAAAAAAGTTTGTTCCTTTGACATTTTATGCTTTAGCAATTAAAGACAGTGTTAAAGCACCTGTACTTCTCCCTTAGCGAACGTTTAACTGCTGTGTGCTTATTTTCCCAGATTTTCCTCATCTCATTCTGAGTTATATTGCAATTGCAGCTTAAGTAGCACAAGTTTTTAAACAGTTTAAAGCTGGCTTAGCTGAAGTGATTTTGATACTGTTGTAGACTGGATTTTAGAGAACTAAAACTGCCAGATCTGGTTAGGTGAGCCAATTTTGAAGCCAGGTACAGAGTCTCAAGGGTGAGCAAATTACCACATTTCTGTGTTCTGAACTTATTTTTACTGATTGTTTTGGTTACTTGGCAGACATAACATATTAATGTTGGCTGTTGTAGTGCTTTCTCTAAAGTTGCAGAAAACGGTTGTGGAATGACAAGATACCGCATGCTGGGTGCACAAGCTGCTGTTTCCAAAGCTTTAGTTTACATCAGCATCCATACTTGAGGCACCGCAAATGATTTTCATAAGCTGACTTAGAAATACTCACGTCAAAGCAGTTTCTTGGTGTAGATGATAGAAACTATTAACTCCTTTCCTGTTCTGGTCAATTCACACTTAAGAGAGTCCTATCTGTTTGCAGCTATCAGTTTCACTGTTTCCTTTCTTCTGCTCTATTAGGATAATAGGCACACATGGGAACCTTAGCCACTATGCAGTCGTGGGATTACAACCTGCACATATGTGTGCAGTTTATTTAAATTTGTCTTCAGGAAATGCGATCAAAGTCAAATACCATATTGCCAATAAATGTCATATGATTTGGAAGCCATGCAAAGAGTGGGTCATCAGCTCAGTAGTCTGATGGATAATCCATTCTGGGAATAAAAAGTCTTCAGCAGAGAACAAAATGCTCAAGTTCTTTAAAAATGAGGCAAACAACCTCACACTGTGGCTGATAACAGTGGTCCAAACAGTCCACTGTTATCCAGTGACACTGATACTCAAATACTTTAGCTAAAGAAATGAATGATCTTCAGCCTTGGAGCAAGAGAAACAGGAAACAGCTCAACTTTTAGGTTCACAAACTTGGTGATTAAAGAGGCTTAGCCTTCAACAATGCTAGAAGATGAGAAAGACACAGGATGGCTGAGCCACCAACTGATTTTACCAGCTGTCATCGTGGTTTAACTCCGACCAGTAACTAAGCCCCACACACTGCTCACTCACCCCCCACCTCCAGTGGGATGGGGGAAGAGAACTGGAAGGGCAGAAGTGAGAAAACTCATGGGGTGACATAAGAACAGCTTAATAACTGAAATGAAATAATAGTAGTAGTAGTAAAAAAAATAATGAAAAGGAAATTAACTGAGAGAGAAATAAAACCCAAGAAAGACAAGTGATGCAAATGAAAAGAATTGCTCACCACCAACAAACCAATGCTCAGCCAGTCCCTGAGCTGTGGTTCCCCACTGCCAACCTTCCCCCTAGTTTATAGCTGAGCATGGTGCCACCTGGTATAGAATATTCCTTGGATCAGGTGAGGTCACTACCCTAGCTGTGTCCCCTCCCAACTCCTTGTGCACCCCCAGCCCACTCACTGTTGGGGCAGTGAGTGGAGTAAAAAAGGCCTTGGCTATGTGCAAGCACTGCTCAGCAATAACTAACAAATTCCCCATGTTATCAACAGTTTTCAGCACAAATCCAAACCAGAGCCCCATACCAGCTACTGTGAAGAAAATTAAGTCTACCCCAGGCAAAACAAGCACACCAGTGCAAATTGCACGAGATGTGAGGTGCCATCACCTACACTATAGCAAAAGCAAAAGATCATAGAATCATAGAATGATGTGGGTTGAAAGGGACCTTAAAGATCATGTAGTTCCAACCCCCCCTGCCAAGGGCAGGGACACCTTCCACTAGACCAGGTTGCTCAGAGCCCCATTCAACCTAGCATCCAACAATTCAAGGGATGGGGCATCCACAACTTCTCTGGGCAACTTGTTCCAGTGTCCCACCACCCTCACAGTGAAGCATTTCTTCCTAATAAGGTGACCAACTTAGCAGCTTTCTGATCTCAGCCAACTCATACAAAAGGAAATTAGTGGATAAATCATTCATGAAAATACTTTTCAGTAGGAGTGGAAAGGGGATGGAAGAGAACAGGAGCTTGATGAGTTTTACACTGGAGTGCAATAACTTTGCTTACCACAGCTATGTATGGGATTTGCAAGTCCTAAGAGCTAACTGATTATCCTTTAGGATTATGAAGTCTCATCCTTCTTTCACATTACACCCTATCCTATTAATTAACCAATTCATTAATGAAATTACTGCAAATTTGGTCAGAATTTCTAGTATATGCATGTCTATAGTATTGTATGTACCCATTCTTTGCTCTGATTTTGAAACCAGTTGTCACATAAGTGTTGACAAGACCAATCAGTCCGAATCACCACAGGGATTCGAGTAAGAGGATTTCAGTACACTAGCTATTGACACAATTTCTTTCTGATTTTAATTCAGGATATAGCTCAAAAGTCCACTTGTTCATCAACACAATCAAAATTATTTCATGAGCGCATCAGTTCAGCAGATTCAACATCTCATAAACCAGGAACTCTTAAATCATTTGGAAGAAGCCATCTTCAAAGTAAAGTCACACTTCAAATCAGATAACTGGCAAGTAGTGGCTTAAGTTCACAACTTAAGCAAAGGTAGGCTGTACAAAATTAACAATCTCCTTGAATCTAATTACTTAAATATAACAAAATTATACATAAATTATCAGTCACAACCATTTCTGGTATATTGCCTGAGATTACTAAGTTTTTGAATCAACAAATACAGATATTAGCAGGAAAATTTTTACTTATTAGACTGTGGCATCACTGTGCAACGTTATTATTCGGATATGATCTGCATTTTCCAGTCTCCATCAGTTAGCCATACTAATTTCATTATAAATTATGCAAGATTCTTCTCCCACATTGAAATACATAAAGCCAGCTATAACTCATCCTGCAGGTCCTATGCTCATATGAACAATTATTTCTATTTGAGAAGAACTGATAACATCCCCACTTCAACAAGCATCTGCAGTGTAGCTGGCAATAACTAGTTCATTTATTAAAATTAAAATAAAACAATAAAAGCATGAGTCTCAATGAGTCAAAATCACTGAGCTATCTTAGTGACAAGTACTCTACTTTAGTCTGGATGAGGTATTATGCAGCAATTTTATATTGCTAATGCCAGTGTAACTAACTATAGTGGATAAAAATATTTGCAATCTTCAAGGTTATTAATCTGGCAGCTTTCCAACACACTACATTTTAGAAGTAGGAAATGACAGACTGTAAGTAAACAACTTCTCTCTCCAACCTCCAGTGGCTTGGGAGGCTCACACAGCCCTGCCAGTTCAGGTTTTGTGCAATGACAAGGTTTCCCAAGTTACCAACCTGACAGAAAATTCTCTGCAGCAGAATTTTACAAAAATCCAAGTCCTGTGATATTCTCACTCTAGACCAAAGTGAAAGTCAATATTTATTTAACTTAAACTTAGTGCTCATAACTAGACTTCCAGTCACTACATATTTCCAGATTTGAAGGTGACTGTTAAAGGTACACTACACACATAACTGTACCATCATATGCTACAAACAAATTATACCAAAACAAAAGAGAAGCTGGAAGTACCCACTACATTGAAAATACAGTCAGGAGAGCCATTTGTTCACAAAACAAGGGGCTATGAACATTGCACAAAGAGCCAGTATGTTATATCCAGTTCTGTCTGCCAAACCTTGCTGCTCCTTGGTAAGGCAAAATGGAAAGGGAAGAGTAAACAGTGGTAAACATAAGATCAGCACAGAACTCTAACAGAATTATTCAAAATAACACACCAGTTTGTATCCAAACAAATACCATAAAAGGCACATGATGAACAGTCCAGTTACTGAAGACAAGATATAAATATGGGAGAGAAAACTAGCTTCCAGGGAACAGAGTAACACAGTGGCTATAGGGTTAGCATAATGTCCTAATGTGGGTGAACTTCTTGAGAGTCCTGCTTAAAGTCCAGTGAAATCAATAAAAGACATACTGATTTCAAGTTACTATGGCTGAGACCCTAATTTCATGAGTTACATGCTACCAACTATCTTTAATCCAGTTATCTACACTCAAAGTAAATATTTGCAAAAATATTCTTCAGTGCTGATGGATATTTACCTTTCATAAAAGTGCAGAACCTTTTCCTAAAGCAATTACAAGTGACTGGCTCCTTCCAGATGGTCTGTCTGCACCCAATGGCACTCACATTTGTCTTTTTCCAAAATACTTACCAGAACCTGTCAGCTGTGAAGGAAAATCATTTGAACACCAAAGCCAATATTTTGCCATAATCCAACATACAGCCTAATCATAAAATATAGTGCTTCTAAAAATCTTACATACTTTACACTTGCTGACATCTTTAAACATTTCTTAGTTTAATCTTAATATATCTAACTTTATTGAGAGACGTAAAAGTTAAAAAAATATATTAAAAGGTTGCAAGTGTTGGGGTCACTTATTAAAGGAAATACATGAAAGAGGTAGAAGATTCAGAAACACCACAGATGTTCCCATTACAATAATATCTAATTGATCACACTGCTGTTGGGCAAGGTATTCAACTGCACCACAGTCAGGTGTTTTATTCTGCAATGGTGCTACCCGAAGCTAGGAATCGGTCAATTTTGGAAAGCCAGAGAATTATACATTGATTTAATACGGTCCAGTTCCTTTACTAACTGAAAATTCCCAAACGGAAGATATTTGTTTTACAACAACCTTTAGAAGTCTCAGGTGTTAGAAATATAACCATCCACTGACTCAGGAGATCAACATCTCCATGGTAAAGGCTTTGTTGCCCTCCACCCTATTCTTTTTAGGTTAAACTCACTTGTACTCAATTTAATGCCCCAAAAAATGTCAAGGGGTCTTCAGGGGCAGCAAGCACAGCATTCAAGCACATGGTAAAGGTGATTCCAGTAAAAAAAAATAAAATTAAAAGACAGCAATGAAACTGGCCACTTGCCCAGCACTGTTATTATCTAGTGCAGTGAAATCCTTATACTTCTCATAAGCTATGCCTTGCCATCTAAAACAGTGTCTGAAATGGTCTATCAAAAATACACAGCAACTCTCACCAGACAGACTTCACATCACCACATCCTGAACTGACTACTTAGAAGTATTCCCAAATGTCCAGTAAGTTTGGGCTGCACATGACTTAAAGACTATGTTGTCTGCTGAATCATTCTTGATTACACCTGTGAGAGGATACAGTGCTCATCTCACTGAACAATGGATTTTGGCTGGTTCCTCTTACGATAATTTAAGACAAAGTGCTGCTGTACCGGTTTCTGCAGTCTACTGTACAACTGAGATTGTCAAGACAGTATAAGATGGTTAAAAATAGTACAGATTTTGGTCAAACACCAGTTTCTGAGAGACACAGTTTTACAGTACTGTACTTTCAGTATTTCCAAAGATGTCTGCTCGTAATATTAGAAAATCTGAAGTGTGATGATGTTAGTCATGACTGTTTCTTTAGGCATTTGGCAAAATACACTTACATATAACAGCTATTTTTGACATTATCAAATGTTTACATATATACAATCTGTATATTGAGATTATAAACATGTAAGGTAAAAAAAAAAAGATATGATCCTTGTTTGTTTGACATTTGTGTCAAATAGTTGCCTTTCAAAGCTTGAAATCCTGTCACAAAAAAAATCCTACATTTCTTACTCCTGCATGCTAATCTCTACTACAGCATGTTGTTTATCCCTTACATGTGGAAAGTAAAGAACACAAGGTTCATGCATACAGCGTACAAGTTTACATCGTCTGGGCTCTCCGGGAGGCACATTCCCAGTTCCATTTTGGTCTGACTCGGGACTGCAACAAACCAGAGAAACACCTCTCTTATTCAGGACTGGTAAATGGACTGCAGTTGGGATTCTAGGTAAGTGTATCTGTCACCATGCGGCATAGCCTTGTCACATCCGGGCTAATTATCCTCTATTAATTATGATATTAGTTATGATTTTGGTTGTTCATCAAATCCGTAAAATACTAGTCAACAAAAAAGAAAAAAAAAAGACTGCTTTTTTTCCTTCCAGATGAGAGGAAGTTCTCACTGCGATCAAGGGCATCTCTGTTGATCTTTCAAATTGTCTGAAGAGCAGATGAATGTGCAATGACTCAGTGATGCTGAGTTTCTATAAAATCCAAAGTAAACAGTTCTGATGTGACCCCAGGAAAACAGTGCAGCTAGATGGATGTCTCCCATAGCTGGAGAGGGGGAAAAGGAACACAAACACACATTGAACACCAAGATAAAACAGGCTGTTACCCAAACAGTGCAAGGAGCTTGTTTGAGGAACTGCATTTAAATCACTTGGGTTACCAAGGCCATGCTCTTGGTCTCCTCCCAGCCTCTGGTGGGTGTCTGTTCAGACCACAAAGTCAGCAGACAGTCTCAAGCATTTTAGCATGACTTGCAGTTGGCATAGTAAATGTCCATGGCTGGGAGTGCAAAGTGTTTGAAGGAAAAATGTCAGTGTAGCATCAAACTTGTACTAGACAGCTTTTACCTTACAGTTACACTAACTAATATTAGTGTAGACATAATTTCCCATTCTTTTCTGCCTAACTCTGCTCAGAACAGCTTGACTTTCTGCTGTGGGTTTGAGCTGCTGCCAAAGCAGCTCCAGGGCTGAGACACATCAGTAAAGCCTGGCCTCCAAGCTGTGCTGAGAGACCCTGTGCTGCACCTCACACATTTTCTGCCCTGAGCAGCACCAGGAGTAGCAGCTTGCAGATTCCCTCAGCAGCACTCCACTCCTTTTTTTCTTGACAAAAGAGGACAGAGAACAGTGATGAGCATCAGCAACATGAACCAAAGGTATTACAAGTAAAACTTCTAAAGCATATTTCAGGGCTTTTTTGCTTATTCAAATACCTGCTATGTCTGAATTAACACAAAGGAAGCAAGAGCTAGCACTGCGTTTTGGAGCAGCTGGAAATCTTTCTATATGGAGAGATCCACCCACCAAACATTCCAGCGGTCCCTGCTCACCCTGGGGGGGGGTCAGGGTGGGGCTCAGGTCACGCAGCAACGAAGTCCCTCCAGGTCTGCAACGGCTTGGTGCAAGCCCTCCACAGGCTACATAACAGGAACTTTGTTACTTTTCTATAAAGCTGGAAAGCAGCTACCCTCCCGAGCTTGAATGAGAGTTGCTGGGAGAAGGGGAAAGGAAGGAGAGCCAGACACATCACTTGCTCCAGGGCTGCCTGTCCTCCACACCCCAAAGGCTGCCCCAGGCACTCTCTCAGCTTGAAATAAGAAAAGTAGTGAAATCTGAGCTTCAGGGCAGGTTTAAGAGCAACCTGAACAGCTCTCTGTAAACACAGCCACCGAGGCTGCCTTAATGACTGCCAGAGGCTCAGCCTTCAGCAGCTTCAGAAGTTCAGAGTGCAAATGAAATGCCACTCTTGCTCTCACTGCTAGTCACAGGTGTTGATCTAATCACTTTCCTTTCAAAAAACTACCAGTAAATCAAGTCACTGATGAAATGGAAAGAGAAGAGGGATACATACCCTGGCACTTTGCCTGTTGGCTTTTTTCTCTTCATCAGGAAGTGGTGGCATCGGGTAAGGATATTTTCTGCTGGAAGCAATAGATCCAGTGGATGAAGATGGAGACTTTGCAGGAGACAGTGTCCTGAGATGTTGAAACACACAAAATAAATGTGATGCTTTTGCACTCCAGCACTGCAACAGCAACTGCCATTACTCTGAAGCTTGGTTCAGAACCAAGTATTTAGCTTATTATTGTCTCAATCAGGGGGATAAAATTGCTTCATCAGAAGTCTAATAATTTCATTATATGAATAAAGGTATTTATAGATTTCAGGAACACTGGAAGAAAAAATAAAATTTGCTACTTCTTATTAGAATTGTATTGCATAACAAAAAGGATTTCCTAAACTTTTTTATACAGTACTGTAATTATTAATTATAAAATTAATTAAAAAAATCTGCAGTTGAATAAATACAGAACTAAAAGATATTATAAGGCCTAAATAGAAAGAGTAATTGTATAAATAAAAGCTGAACAACATCTTCTGCCAGTGACTAAATGGTAATTATCAGCGTCTTTATGGATGTATTTATATTGATACAAACATAGCAAATAAATCTATTATTTTTATAACACATTAAATTACACAAATGCATGCATTTAGAGGCCAAACTGTTAGTTGTGAAGTAACAAAGGCATATACAAAGTGCTAATAACAAATTATTATACATGCAAGCATCATACAGTGCATATTGTTCCAGCCAAAGAAAGAGTCTGATGAGAATATACAAAAATGGACTGATTAGTCAATGGCAATCAGCATTTCTGTACAAGGTGAGTAGAGTAAGCAGGAGCAAGTAAATGTTTGTATCACATGAAAGGCATTCTTTTCATGTCAATAAGGCAGCAGCACATTATTGACTGAAATTTTATACCCAAGAAAAACTCTTATGCTTCTGTTTTGAGATTCTGCACTTTTCCCACTTAAGAGGGTCCTATCTAAATGAAAGGCTCTAAATCTGGGCAGAATCAAAGGGGAAAAAAATCCTCAAAGTAGAAAATTTGAGCCACCCTGGCCTCCTTGTTCTCTTATGCAGACCAAGGGAAGCCTCACACTAGTGCAGGCACATCACCCAGACCCTCCCTGAACACCACTACCTACTATCTTCTGAGTTTAATGCATCCCTGAAGATGGAGGATTTCCCTCAGTCTCTACAGACAGGTCTTCCAAGTCCCTCAAATGTAGAAGGGGGTTGCAGTGTCCTATGCAGCTGTAGACCCCAGTGATGAGCACTATTGCCAACATCACTGATTCCAAGGAATCACAGGAGCGACCCCTGGCAGACAGCCCCACATGCCTGGCTCTGGGATGTAAAGGATCAGGTCCTTTCATCTAGAGAGGACTACAGACAAGGCAGGGACTCTTGTGTCTGGAATTGTTTTGTATCTCTATTACTAAGTGAAATTTATTTACTTTTAAATAATTGTATTTTTTATTCTGGACTAGTGTATCATTTGGTTGTGTCTGCAGCTCCCTACAACAGCACACTCTCTTGCCTCCCATACAAACAATGACTGATGGTAGCCACGAGCAACAAGGTGTCAATGGAAATTAAATGGTGAGAGCTCTCCAGTCTGGCTTATGATCCTCTAATGACTCACGTGGTAGCCTCTAAGTTCAACAGCACTTAAAAGATTTGGGTTGGTACAATTATGGAAGCGTACATCTTCAGTACATGCACTTTGATCACCCATTAAGATGAAGTGGACATACATTACTGTTTTCAGGAAAAAAAAACTTGAAACAGTTACTGCAGTATAAAACAAGGTTTTCATATGTCCAGCATCACAGATCTGGGCACCAAACTGTGCATGCAAGAAAACAGGTTAATTTAAAAAAAAAAAAATCCAGGGAAACATTCTCAACAGTGCCCTGCTGTTCACTACCAATACAAGTCCTCTCATCTCTGCCCACATTTGGACTAATAACAATCGCTGATAAACTATTGGTGGATCTAGAATTTAAAAAATAAGGAAAAGAGGAAGGGGGGTGGGAATAAGGAAAGCAGATTTTAAGTATTATTAGTAATCAAATTATTCACAAATTTTGCCCCACAGTTGCAGCAGAATTTAAAATTTTCATATTAAAATTTATAACAATGCACTTGGAGATTAGAAACAAGGAACTGGTGTTGTGAGATGTGACTTGGAAAGCCCTATCAGAAAGCTGTTTATAATGGTACCAACAGCCAGGAGGTGGCATGAAGAATGAAGGAATCTCCATCTCTTGGACCACAACCAGGCAGAACATCACCTCCTGCACATCACAGGTTCTTTGTGTTTTAAACACAGTCAGAGAAGGCTACAGCGAGAGGAAAAGCCATGGCCAATCTACCTGCCCATCAGTCTGAGCAGGTGATCCTGGAAGGAGCAATAATCCCCCAAAGATAGGACATCTCGAACATTTTCCTTGCACAAACAGGTCCTCTGACCAGGATCTCTAACTGAGCCTTCAGCCAGGCAGCTTTGCACCATAACCCAAACACAATGCTGTCTTTTCAAAAGATTTTGAAGGCCAGACCTCCAGTGTGGCTTCCTACACATCCTTCTTCTCAAACCCCCCTGGTACTGCCTGCTCAACTGTGGTTTGCCATGTCTAACTGATGTGCACTTTGCTGTTCACCTGCACCTGCAAAGCTACAGCCGAATACACCCAGAATGCAGTTGCACACTTAGAGAAATGACCTTGCCCTCCTTTCACAGGGCCTCACCACTTATTTTTGCTACAGAGTTATGTGCTACAGAGTTACACTGTCATCTTTAGCGCCCACTGCTGTGGACATAAAGGACTCAGAGTATGCTCACAGATCTTACAATGCGTCTTCTGTGATAAACGTAGTTGTTTGAGGCAGTTTTGATCACCTTTCAGGTTAAGTCCTGCGATTGTGTATGTGCTGTGTATCCCAGATTTACATATACTTTAAATGAGAAAGAGCCAGTCATGACCTTTCTCATTTACAGGATGGAGAGACAGCATTCAGGGACACTTGCAAGTAATGCTGGGGTTAAAGGTAGGCAAAACTTGGCAGTTTTGGTCAAGGGTGGGATCCATTTAGCTTTCCCTAGGGTTTTAGTTCTCCTGCAATCAAATCCATTAGCTTTCATGCCAAATGTTGCCTCCAGCTAAAACTTATACACAACAGAGATTCAGAGGTTTAACTGCCACCCCCAAATGAAGCCATGCACCTCAACGTGCTACAAAAATATCTAATTTCTGAATAGAAAGCAAGATGCAGTAGCCACTTTGTGTCTATCTTTCTGCTCTGGAAGGTGAAACTAAGAGTGTGGGGAGACCACTCTGTGATTCACAACAAAACACTGTAGCAGCAGGAAGACACTCTGCAGCCATAGGCTGCCTGCTCTGCCTGTCTTCACCTAAACAGGGAATGTTGGCCCACAAGAAACAGTGCAAAATGTGTCACCTGGTCACACAACTAAACATTCTGCAATTTTGAGTGTTGTTATAGCTGAACTCAAGGCAGGTGGCTCTGACTGATATGAAATATTCATAAACTGTAATTGATTCTCTTTCCCAGACTGAAATACTTTAGTGAAATTCAATTAATATTCAACCTGGTGAAAGCATTTCAAACCCATATATAGATACTGTCAGCCTAACCTGACCTTTGCTGCCATGGATAGGTCTTTGTAGGGCATCATCAGCCTGAATTATCCTACATTAGGAAGTTAGGATCTTCTAGAAACATTGGTGTGGCTAAACATTTTGAATCAAGTTCCTTTTAAAAGCCACAGATGTGCACAGAGGTCCTCAGAAAGAGCAGCAGCAGAGGGGAGAGGAGGCTCAGGAGTGGCAGAAGAAGAGAGAATGGCTATGGCTTGAGCCACCACTTTGAGCACTGCACATCAGTGCCCCAGAAGTCACATGCTTTAATGAACTCTTCTCCCTAACTCTTGAAATTAAATCTAGATCCTACTGGCATCAATAGGCATATTTTTCATTGTCTGCCTACACAGCCATTTTGCTTTGCTTGTAATAGGGAAAAGTTTCGTGGGTTTTTTTTCTTTAAGCACAGTCTAGAACTGCCTCAGTAAGAGAAGGGTAGATAGGGGCTGGTCACGGTTCTGGCCTCAGCTGGATGCTCATAGAGGAAGGCAATGGAGCTGAGGAGGAGCTGAGAAAAAAATCGAGGACACAAAAGCACATTAAAATAGGAGGGAAACGGCAGCCTGCTGTCTCCTGCCTTCCATGCCCCTTCTCAGTGCCCTTCTGACATGGGATGGCCATTTTCCTTCTAGTTATGTGCTCTGGGTCTCCATCTAAAACAAAAATAATTTCCTTGTAAACTATTTTTATATTTAAACAACCCTAATAAAATATAAGTTACTGTAAATATTTGCACTAAATCAAATGTAAGCAGCTCAGTGCTTCAGAAGGTGCCTTCTAGGTTTTTTTGTTTAAAATTACCTACAGAAATGCCACATCTGGAGATTCTGGCAGTTTGTTTTCTGATACCAACATGGCTCCCAAGTCTTTCAAGATTAAATGAGAATTCTGAGTAATCCTTAAGCACATTTCACAATGCCAGCCTGTGCAGTAATTGCAGTGACTGTAATTGTCAGTAACAAGAATAAGCAGTCATAGCACATTCATAAAATAACATCCCTTGCAGCAAAGCCAAAATCAGGGAAAGGCTTCCTGCTTGGGTTTATTGCTGGGGTTACGAGCGTGTAGCCTGGCACGAGCATTTCTCAGATCACAGTGTGGCCTGGCGCAAGGGAGGGGGACGCACCACCACACATGCAAAATTAAAACCCAGACTAGTCTTTGAGCAGGAAAATTAGATTTTTCTTCACAGATCTTATTTTCTTACAGATAGGAATCCCACACCTGGGAATTTTCTGGCATCAGAGACGCCATCAGCTACTATTATTACTATCATTAATAAAAAGTAATTATATAGAAATAGCCATCAGACTTGTAGACTAGAAAAAAAACCTAGAACATCAGGTGTTAAAAAGACAAATTCTGATTTAAAAAGGTTTTTTTAAGCAGCTGCAGAAAATCTTTGTAATGACTAATATCTCTATTTTCTAAAAATCTGCAATTCCTAGGAATTGTAAGAAGTTGTTTTGTCTTTTTTCCTCATTCTACTTCAACTCTTCCTACAGCAGCACCAGTCACAGCATATTATTCCTAAAACTACAGGGAAACAAGCAAACCAGCAATGTTACTTTGAGGACTCCTTTGAAAGAACAGAGAAATCAAAGACAATTAAAAAAAATATTCCTCAGCCAATCACCTGGTGTAAATTTCCTAATATAGGGCTGTGACTCCTAAAATATGGAGCTGGACAGTCTGACTTTAGCTTGATTTTCTGGTTTATCAAGCCAGATTTGCTTTGTTTTGTTTGCAAATGACTATACAGGCTCAGGCTCAACACCCAGCCACGGGATGTTCTGACACACCGTTCTTAAGCAAAATTGCACCTGAGTTTTAGGGAAAAAAAGTTCAGTTTGACCTTGTGTAAACGCATGGCAACTCATCTCAGGAGAGTTGATCCTTTGCCTTGCATAATGTGCCCACAGAATACTTCCCCATGATTTCCTCACTTAATTAGGACATACAGGTTTCTAAATTTATTCTAGTTGCTTTCTCATTTCTAAAGCTAATTGCTGCAGGTAGTGATTAGTAAGCTTCTATGGTGTAAAATTTTTAATTTATGTTTCATCTCTGCTGATATACAGCTTTTAAAACTCACATAGGTCAGCTTAATCCTCATCTACATTCCAAAGATGCTTGGTTTATATCAGATACAATTAGAAAAATGACTCATTCAATGTAACAGCTGAAGACCCTCAGGGGCACGGTACCTTCTCATCAATTTAATCTAGTTACTAAATTGTGATATACTGATATTGAAAGATGAAAGCAAAAGTATAAGTGTGCACACAAGATTTTAAGCCTGTTTAACTAAACCATTTAAAGTAACCTATTTTCAACTAGTGCTACGTTCATATTCCATCAATGTCTTTGCTTATTGTGACCACAGGGTGTCCGATACAAAAATCCTGAAAGACAAATATGGGATTAGGTTATGGTTGGCAACTCTTGACTTTGCCTGAACAACAGAGGTCAAAAGGGCATTTTTATGAAAAGGTTTGCTAATAAAAACACATCTCATTTCTCCTGTGAGTTTGCCTAATTTCACATTCCAGTGACCTTTAGTCATTATTAATATTAGTTTGCTAATCTAAAGGACCCACCACAAAGATTTTGCTCCATATGCAGCCATGAGGACTTCATGATCAGGCAAGTGTTCAGTTGCTCCACTAAACTGAACAGCTTGAGGCCCTGCAGTCCTTTCTATGGTTTCACTGGGCTTAAATCTCTCCAGTTCTAGAACATCCTTGATGAACCGTGGACACCAGAACCTGATCCTGTATCTCAGTGCTAAAACGACCAGACTCACAATACTTCCTGCCTGAATGTCCAAGCACCAACACAGAGATGTGGCTGATACTGATGGGCACAATCACAATCTCCTGTAAGCCTTGCATTCTTGCATCAGGGATCTTTACTCCCTGTTCAGGACCAAGATCAGGACTGAGAGGCTTGAGTTTACTCATTTTCTCTATTCACTGGAAAGCTTTTCTGTGGCTTACTCTGTGATTTATTAGGTGCCGAAAGCAAACACAAATGGTTTTAAAAAGTAACCATTTTATGGTCTTTTAAGAGTTTGGGACATTTTTAGTTCTAAAAATGACTAAATTCCTACCCTGATATTTGATGTCCGCCACTGTTACTATTGGAAAAAGAGTTTCATTAGTATCTTGTGATACAACTCCATCACATTTTTTTCCCAAATGCAACTGGACATATTTAGTGTATGTTTCTGCCCTTTTGCATTATTATTAGGTCTACTTGTGTAGCAAAATTATTAAGATTCTATTTACTTGTTCGTACCATCCTTCAATCTTTTGGCTAAAGATTTTGCTGGTTACTCTCTTTTCTTTGTGTTTCTATAATGCTTTCAGTTTCATTTTTGATATGTCAGCTTAGAGCTTTCTGGATTTCATTCATGTTTTATGTTATTTGTCTTAAATTGCCTTCCATTCTCTCCTATGTTAGCTGATCTTTTCAGCTGATGCAGAGATCTGTCGTTCTGTCTAGGCTGTGGGATAGTGTCTTTTGTGAATCTACTGCAATGTTCTCAGTCTCCAGATTCATGTCCAACAGGGAGGCCAGCCTCATGCACACTTCTTCTCTTTAACTTGCAATGTATAAAATAATACACACTTTTCCCTTTCAACAAGTGATATTTTTGACTGAACCCTACCGCACTTGTAACAGATTCATTAGCAGTTTGATAATTAGAGTACAGAGTATATTCTCATACATTTAGCTTTCCAATTACGATATATAAATTATTTCATTGTAGGCTGAGGGTAAAATACTACTGCTTTTTATTCTTTTTTCATTTAAATTTTGGTATGCACTATATAAGACAGTGGGTAGAGTCAATGTGTTATGAAACCACTTGCTTCAGTAAATTAACATTCTATTTAAGTTAATACTACTTTATTAGTGATAAATACGTCTCATGCCCATAAAACACTACTTGGCATAAAATGATGCAAAAGCTACTACAAGCTATAGATGATGGTGGGAACGCATGCACTACACACACCCTTTTCAATGGCTTCATTAAAACATTCAGAAAAAGAACTGTAAATTGCACGTGAAGCCAAAAACAGACATCAAAATGCAGCAAAAGAAGAGGGGCCCTTTGCACCTAGAGTAACTTGTATTGATTTATACAAGGTAGGAGTCCCAAGATATTTGTATATGCTGGAACAGCTCTTAAAAATGAGAATTATAGAATTAATTTACAAAATACCTAAAGTATGGTCCTTCAGTGTTTTTATTCACATCTTCTACCCACTTAGCTACATTATATTCTCTTTTGAACCATGGGTTTAAATACCTGCAGAAAGCAATGGAAGGAACAGAGAAAGCAGAAGAACAAGAATAGAAAATCTGAGAACACACAGCACAAGCTTAGCAAGGATGTCTTCATCCCCAAAATGCAAGTGAATATGGCAAATAAATCAGAATGAATGTTGGGTGAGGACTAGGCAACGTGTACAACTGCATGAGAAAATCTGACCTACAACAAGACTCATATGTTTGATTAATCTGGAAACTCTTTGGGATACACCATTTATTTAAGGGTAAAATTCACTCCTATGCAGAAGGCCAGCATTAAGCTCATGGTTTAACTCTCCTCATGATCTCAGAATAAGGATGAAGGGGCATTTTGGCTCCAATCATGCAGTTTGCTTGTTAAAGACACACTTTTGCACTCATCTAAAATAAATTGCAAGATAATTGCTAAATGAGCACAGAATCTTCGGCTTGACCCTTTCTACAGGAATGAATTTCAGCCTCAGTTTGTTAAAAGGTTTGAATTGTTTGCCACTACAGTGATAATTTTTACACTTATATGCAAATAGCCCTCTGATTTTTCAATGTTCATTTAATTTGGTAGGATCACAAGAAGCTTTAATGGAGGTGGGCTGCAGAGTTATCTCACATTTTACAGAAGCAATCTTGATACCAAAACCACACTTTATAGGAAAAAAAGACTGAGCTGCATACTCAAATTAGGTACACAAAAATTACGAAATAAAGATGTTTAATTATCTGACAGCAAATTACTAGGGAAGAAGAACATTTTTTTATAATAAATTTTCTCCTGCAACAAGATTAGCAAATTCCTCCCGCTCTTGTCATGTTAAGAAAAAAGGGCGATGCAGAAACAGAAGTCTGCCTGGTCCAATTTATTCTTCTTATATACGAATGGCAACAGTTAAATGATTATTTGTGATCACCACCTTTATGTAACAGAGACTAGCACAGTGAAATAGGAAACAAATTATAACCAAAGAAAAAGGGAAAGAAAATTCCTCTTTAAGTTATTGTTGATATTTCTGGTCCAGTTCTTGCCACCCTTATTTGTTAGATTTACTCCAATGACCTCACATATGGGAACAGGCCTCACAAGGGATTGCTCAGATGAATAAAATCAGGCCAAATCATGTCTTTCAACCCCCACCATATTTCAAACCATGTTGACAACAAAAGCAGCAGCACTTTTTCAACTTCTTTTGCTCCTTTTTTGCTCTGGAACATCTCCTCCCCGCCCTGCGCAAGCACAGCCACAGCTCTCAGAAAGTACTCGCCCTCAGCCACAAGTGCTTCTAAGTAGCTTCCTCAGCTCGCTTATTTATCAGGAATCGGGAGTGCTTTATGCTTTCCAGCTTGGGATCTTAAGAGAAAGGAAATGTCAAAAGTGGTAGCGCAGCAAAACAGATGAGCCACAATCAAAGCAACAGGCCGATGCCAGCATCGCCAAGAACTAATGAACTTCTGCTTTGACTTTAATTGCACATTTTCTTGTACTTGCTGCAATACTTTTGACTTCAAGTTTTTCATTTGAAAGGGTCTTTTGGTAACCATGAAACACTCCCAATCTGGCTTCCTGTATTAGAAAACAAAGTGTAATGTGGTATCAAAGCATGCAATTGTTGCACAACCGTGTTGCAGGGTTTCCTGGGTCTGCGTATATTACAGACCACCATTCACCACCTCAATCCATCTGTTACAGAAAGGTTAAACTCAAGTTACTGCAGACCACTACATGATACCATCAGAAAGCTCTCAGGCTGATCTTTCCAGCCACATGTTCATTAGCAATGGACAGAATCTGCATTTCCTTTCAGTGAGAAATTCTGCTTTAAAACAAGGTGCCCTTACACATAAGCCTACAGCTAGACGGACAGCTCAGTTTGGCTTGTAGCGCAACATGCAACAAGGCAAAAGACCTGGGCTCAAGAGTACTCGTACTCCTCAGGCCGGTGAGGAGGAAGGTTAGCTAGCGCTGCATCAGCAGGAGCACCTCCAAGCAGTCACGGTGTTTTGCCACAGTGAAACTATTGTATACTGAGGGAAGGGACTTTTCACGGGATAAAATGGCAGCCCAGAATGCAGGGGTGGGTGAGACTGACCTGTGATCCAGACTCCCTGTTTGGGGGTGGTCAGAACCCCCTGAGCTTATGCCTTGGGCAGGGGTTTGGTGGGCGAGAGAAAGCCCAGGCTCAGATGCATGGGTTACCCGGCTGCAAAAAGACAATATATAATAGAAAGTCTAAACCAAAGATGTTCGTATCAGTTAAAACAACGAGGAAGACAAATGCTTATAGGAAAAGCCGTGCAAATTAACAAAGGTCTGAATCGCTATCTGTTCCCTGGAACCTGTTTTAACACAAGCTCCCAATTAAACTATCAACTTATTCAGAAAACTCTCATTATAATTCCTGAACAATTCTAATTGATTTTAGTAGAGAACTCTTTTATCAGGTTGTTTCATCAACCATGTTTCCAAAAAAGCATTTGGCCTGTTGGCATTCCTTCCATGTGTAATGAACCATCTGCCTTTAGTAAAGAACATTAATTTTGTTTTAAAACATCTAGAAACAATTAAAAATGCCCCAAAATACCTTTAGTAGTCTCCACTGAGCTCTACACTTAGCATAAGCCTTGTTCATGTATGTTAGTCCAAGGGTGACGCAAACTTGTGAGCTGTACCTTTTTCAGGAGCTGCCCAAAATGCTTGCAAACCTCCCACCAGTGCTGCTTGTGAGGGTTGCAGACCTCAAACCCTTCTCAGTGTTTAAGAAATTTTGCTTCTGTGATTAATGACACGTCTCTTTAATGCTTGGCTGTATAAAAAAAAACCTCTGTGCATAATATGTGCAGTTATTGCAGACTTATACATACATCAAATATTTTTGCAGGCAACTGCACTAGTGGGCCCCTGCTAAAAAAAAGAAACTGAATTCTGCACAAGGTATGGCACAAATGAATCTAATTTTCTAGTGGTTAACTACACTCTACTAATAACAGGAGACCAACACTGTTATCCCTTTTCTTCCATTCAGCAAGTATGCTTCATTGGACTTCTAGGGGTCTCACAGGTGGACTTTCCAAGTACTGCTTCAGAACAGATTTCAGTATTATTCTATATTTCCCAGAGAAGGTAGGAAGGTACATATATCTGGGAAAAGCCTCCATGAATTCTGAGGCATCCTCAAAGCAGCTGGCATTGCTTTTTTTTTCCTTAAATGAGTAAATGTTGGCCACAGTTATATCATTTTCAGTCAATTTTATCTGCTTGCACAGGAAGCTACCCCTCTAACCAGAGCCACCATGTGCCCTTGGCAACTCTCTCCATTTCCTACTGAACTGGCACAGCATGTGGATCATTCAGTGGGAGCTCTCTCTCTGAGTGGTGACAGGTCTGCCAAGGAGACTCGGACAAGCCATGTGAGTGCAGTCCAGGATAGACCCCATAAGGAGAAAGAGTGTTTTCCTGCCTGGCAGGTCTCTCCCAGGAACACACACACTGTACTTCATCCCCAACAGGCTGCAGCATGGCCATTGGGAAGTACAAGCCTCCTCTCTCTAGCAAAAGGGCTGCTGCTGGGCTGAGGGACCATAACAAGCATCAAGAAGGAAAGCAGAGAATTAGGTGGAAAATCAAGGGCACCTTTAAAAGAGAAAAAAATTTACATGGCAAAATATTTCCAACTCACAATATCTCTGTCTGCCCACTTATTTAGTGCTCCAAAGTTCTCAGAGCATATCTCATTTGTGTTCTTGGCAGTTTGGTCAGACTAATTTTCATTTTATCAAACTGTCTCATGCAAGGAGAAAAGAAAACAAGCAAAATAATATTTCAGAAAGAGTTTATCAGCACAAAGACCAAGAGCAAAGAGACTCTTGATAGATAAACTCCTCCAAGGGCTAAAATTTCTGGTTCCATGTTGCCATTTTGACCATGCAATGTTATAATTGCAATATGCATCAAAGTATTATTTCTGTATCTCGTAACACAGGGTCTTCTCTACGAACCTTTCTGAACCTACTCACCTCAAGACAGTGCACTGCAGGTGAAAGAAAAGTTTCAGAACAAACTCAAGCTCCTCAAACCAGAGAAAGTGGGGCCCAGAGAGAAGTTAGCATTATTAGTTTCCAGCAGGGTTGGTATCAAGCCCATTTGCCCATAGAGGTGCAAAGTTAGTACTCAAGACATGGAGAAGGGCAGTGTCATTGCCAACATGGTCAAAGAAGGGGCCACTCCTATGTGGTGTAAGTGCCGTAAGAGCAGGCCAGGACTTGCCAAGCCCAGAGATTATGCTTCCAGCCATTCACCATTCATTCACAAAAGGGGCCTGAACCAGCAGGCTTAAGTACATTAGAAAGGCTCTTTCCTTTTGGGGAGCACTGCACACATGGGCTCTTCAGTTACTGTAACCAATAAATCAATAAGCAAGCAGCTCTAAGCCATACTGGAAAAGCTTGGGGGTCAGTCGCTTGGTAAGGACTTTAATTACCCACTTATTGCAGGGCTTGCTCCAGACTGGCTGTTTCAGGCTTATAAGGACAAACTTCAAGCTACTCTCAAAGAAGACAGATGCCTCTCCTAAAACCTCCAGGAAGGTGCACAGAGATATACATCTCTAACTCTGCAATGGCCCAACCCAAGGTGAAGAAAAGGGTAGGAAATAGGTTATCAGAAACTCAGTATTGAACCAGGATACACTCAGCAATGGCAGTTTACTGTAGACAAAAGCCTGCAGTGATGGTGCAGGCTGCCACCATCACTGGGAATTGCTATAGGAACGACTGTGAGGAAGCCTACATAAAAAAGAAAATTCACAGTTAATTTTTAAAGAATAAATAAAAAGATGTCAAAATACATTAGCCAAACCATTTACCAGATTAGCAGTCAGCAATCAGAATGGGCCACAGAGCAAAAATGCAACTGCCTACTTTTCAGTACTCTTAATCTCCATCTACAAAACACAAATATGAAAACTGTACTTTTTGGCTTTGCTTTTGTAAGTTCAGACTTACTCAGTTGAATTAGACCGTGGCCTAAATCTTTTGCCTCTGACTTTCTTTCTGTTTCCTCCTATATTACCTGAAAGAAATCAAAGGATAAAGACAGACAGTAAAACAACTTGAAACTCACCTGCATCCCATGCCAAACTGTATATTCTTTTTGCATCCATAGCAAAAGAGTTGTTACCTCAATAGCTTTAACCATTTAAATGTCACAGGTCAGTCCCTCTTGATTTACCTCAGACTCTTAGGTGAGCTTTCTCTACTGTTTGCCGCAACTGTGCAGAGCAAAAAACTCCTTAATTTCAACTTTCATTTGACAAAATCACTACACTTCAAGAAAAACACTAAACACTGCCTGATAAAATCACAGAAGCTGGCAAGAGTGAATAGACTTCCTTGTCTTCTTCATGTTAGCTTATACTGGAGGAGTGGGAGAAATTAAATGTCATTTCTATGTGACAAAGCACTGTGCAAAAAAAGGCACTTTTGTAGGGTGCTGTTAAATCCTAAGTCCAGGGTAATAACAATCAGCACAATTTTAAGGAGTCATGCTGCTGTCGTAAGATCAGCTAAACTTCCAGCAGAGCAGCAATGGTCCATAGGCTGGTTTCCACTGTGGCCAGCACAGTGGTTCACACTTACCTTGCCAAGAATTACTCCTAGGCCTCCCATTTTCACAAATGTCTGAAATATGTTTTGTGTCTGGGATCCTTTCACTCCAGGAATGAGATAATCCATTTGACCTGGAATAGGAGGGCTCAGATGCGGTTATTGTTAAGGGTATTGTCTCACATCATGTTAACTCAGTGGTTCAGTCACATTCCCGAGGCTAGTGACAAAACACAGCCTAAGGTCTGTCTGCACTAGCAGAGCCTCCAGGATTTCTGCAGTTACACTTTGCAGCTGTCTCTGCAGTGGTCCAGTGTGCCCACGTTCAAGAGTCAGGCTTCAGCAGTGCTTTCTCACTTGTTGTCTGTGGAATGCACAAACACCAGCACGCACCAAATTTCCTTTGGATTTGCAGTTCTGCCCCAGCTCCTAGATGGAAAATGCTCTTCCAACTGTGCTCACCTCAAGGTTTTTTTATCTTGCAGTCAAGCACATCCCACCTGCAAGCTGCCCACTCCCTCCTTGTCCTGCTGCAGGAAAGCCTGGACAGCTTACCTCACCCCACTGCTATCAGTCTCAGGGGCTCAGGAGTCCGTGATAAGTATCTTCCCACCCAGAGCTGGTAGTGTCAGGGGAGAGGTAACTCTGCCTCATTTTTGATAATTTTGAATTTTTATAATATTTTATTAGTCAATTGCTGCAGTGTATACTTCTAATGCTAAACTCAAAGCCAAAAATAGTCTTTATATCGAGGTGCTTGGTGCAAACTGAAGTTTTTCTTTCCTCTTGTATTCCCTCTAAGAGCCAGAGATGTGTGTTGGTGATGTCCAACCTGTGTGATTTTGCAACAGGCTCCCTCTTGTTGAACTAGAGCCGCTGCTCAGCTGTTTGCCATGAGATCTACAATTATTTCCAAAAGAGAAGAGGAAGTTGAAAAATTCATAATAGATGGCTTACTTATTGCAAAGAAGTTTTGCTTAAAGGACCTCTTTCTGCAGTTTTTAAGTCTGGATACTCTTGCATTTTTCAGTCTCTGTTTTCCTTGGAGGGCAGGCATCTGAGAGATGCTCTTCAGTTTCCAAAAAACCAGGCTAATCACAGCCACAGTGAAGTACACTCAGGGTTTCATTAATTGAAACTTAATTATAGCATGAAAGGTCTGAGAACCAACAGATCCACTGACAGATTTTTAAACATTTTCTCCCCCTCACAGTCTATTTTCAGGTTCAGGAATATCTTGCTATATACTGGTTTTGGTGTTTGCTATTTCATAACAGCAAGAGTTATCATAAAGTTATGTCTTAATCCTTGAAAGCCCTCTGAATCCAAATAATATTTCAAAGTGCTTTCCAGCATGGAGAAGTCCAGGCACCCCACGGCCCAGCTACTCTAACATCTCCCAGGAGATGCCATCCATACCAGCACACAGAGCAAATCAAAATCAGCTCAGAAGGTAGGAAATAGCACTCTGGGCATTAAAATGGAAGGACTATGTCAGCTGTATCACAATGTTAATGGAATATTTGTCAGACTTACTTTTCCAGACTTGACAGTGGCACAACATACCTGAACTGGCGGTGGGGAACAACAAAACTCTCTAGTACAGACAGACCTTAGAATCCATTAGCTTTTTGGAACAAATAATAAACAGAGACATATGAAATAAATGAAGTATGAAAAGAAACACAGATACTGAATGAAAGAAGAAACACATTAAATTACATTCATTTAAAAAGAAATTTTTTCTTAACTGGTATTTGAACCTGATACACGAAGCTATGAAAATTTGCTTTCCCAAGACTTTTTGCAAAATTTCATCCAAATGAAAAAAAATTCTCCAACACAAACACTAAATCATTTAAGATTAATGTTTGCTTCCTGAAAAAAAACAATAATGTATCCACCCACACATCTAAAAAACCAAATTTAAAAATTAGAAATCATTAATTAATCACTACTAAAGTTTTCCTAATAACATATTCATTAGAACAAACTGAATGAAGTTGCAATAGGATCAAGCAGCTACGCCAAAATAGCAAATGTGTCCCTTCCATACATTTCTCTTTACTTTCATTGAAATAACAGCATAGAAAACGGCTTCACCAACTGCACAGTTATAGGCTGCTTAGTGAGACAAGAATTGAGAATTGCAGTTTTCCTGTGAAGTAGTTCAGGACGGTCAATCCCTCCTAGGACACAGTGCTTCTCACAAATTGTTTTACAGTGCTACCTGGAGATTTTCATAATTAAAGGATCTCTAACTGCAGAGGGATGGTAAGCACCATGACCTTAGCAAATACCAATGACTCTCAATGCTTTTCAATGAATTTTCCATTTTAAAATGTTGGGCGTTTTAATCAACTGGAACAATAACAGAATTAGTGAAATCGGATCAAGGACAAAATCTAATTCTCTCATGATAGTAAACTGAAAACTACAGAAAGTCTTTGTAGAATTATTTTCTAAGATAATGCTTGGTGAGCATTTAGTATACTAGTCTAGTAAGTGGAATAAAATGCAAGCACTATCATCTTTAATAAGAGACAGCAGAAGTCTAGCTCAACACAGTGAATTAATGACACTGACAAATAAAGATATAAAAATAACATTTATATTTAACATTTTATGTTTATAACCATTACTGAAGCAAGACAGTGTTCCTTTCCTTTGATTACATGACCATGACTTAAAAAGTTGTGGATTTTTTATTTAATTTTTTTTCAGCCAGCAATTATTTTTACAGTCTACTTGAAAACAATTCTCAAGCAGGAAGATGATGAAAATTTGATTAAACCAAAGTTTGTTTACAATGCAAAACGTTTTTGTTCTAGCCTAATCACAATAATTAGTAGCTTAGGATATAGGAGAAAAATCAGTAATCAAAGCAAAAAGGATGCTATTTCAAACATTCCACAAAGAAAGAAGAAAGAATCAAACCTGCTGCAAAACAATGAAATGTTCTGACTAATGGAATAATGGGTGATGGAACAGGTAGAAATCTGAAAATGCGACAGAAAAGCAGACCTCTTCTTAGAACTAGATGCAGAGTTTGTGCTGACTCCAGGAGGCATGTCGCTATAAAAAGAGTCGGCCTCTCCCGGCTTTTTTACATAATCTCCCTGGGGTATTTGTCTAAAGTATAATAAACATTGTAGAGTCAGAAAACATGACAGGAACTAGCACGCACACAAACATGCATGAACATTAGTTTAAAAGAAAGAGGTAAGGATAGCGAGGAAACCCGTTAATCACAAACAATAAGGCTACTAATACATAATTCAACCATCTGAGAGAAAACTCCCACGCGCTTCTGTTAAGTGGTTATGTGGTTTTGGTAAGTAAAAACAAGGAGAATTTCACAGGTAAACCCTGATCACAACTTTCAAAGTGAACAGTTTGTGTTTATTGAGACACTGGATAACCAGTTCAGACATTTCAAATGGCTCATCATGCCGGTCGCAAAAAACACCCCCAGGTGCAGCACCAGTACTGAGCCTGAGCTGAATACATGCCTGCATCAAAAAGGAATTCAGGAAAAGTGAATGCTTTTTTCCTTCTGAGATAGATGCTTTCCATTTAACTTTTGTGATGATTATTGAATTCAAGAATAGCAACCTGTTGAGTTGTTTAAACCTCAGGAGGATAAAAATCTCCAGTTTTTTTAACTGATTTCTTGTGCAGGGGAACTAACACCAGTGTCAGAGATTCTCACCTACTCCTGATTACCACAGTAGACTCAATCTGCCAAGACACACAAAAATAATGTCACACATATCTGATAATAGGCTATTCTTTTCCAGTACAAGAGGTTCCATTATGGTGCATAAAACTATCTATGCATTAGAAAGTTCTAATCAAGTTATACAACGTTTTTGTAGATGGTGAATTCATCACCAGCCGAAAAAACCTGCCATACAAATATTCCAGTTATAGTTCCATCAGGTTGAAAAATCCTCCCAAGTACAAGTAGCTACTCTGAAAGTTGGCTATTTCATAGCATCATCAACTTAAGCATCTATTTAGCCTTGCACTCTCCAAGGCCTTTTTGTTTCAGTCTGCCCCTATTAAGATGCACATTTATTGGGTTGATTTACATTCAGATTGTGTCCAACTACAGATCTGAACTGGGATCTCTTCATGGAATATCTGAATTTCTAATGCTCCTAAAATATTTAAAGTATATAACTACATGGCACATAAATCATTAGTATAATGCAGTACTTCCACACTCCATCTTCTAACACCTTTCAAGCTTCATTTCTCATCCCAATCTTCAGCTAATACATGCGTGTGTTCAGAGTCGACTCAGTGTGGGCAGCTCTGCTCCCCAGGGTTCCGCTAGCAAACTGCTCTCTTGCTACTCCATCAGAAATAACTTCTCCCATGTAGCTGTGCCCTTTACAGCCACACTATCCCAGCTGGCAGAATCCTTGCTAATTGGCTCTTCTTGCTACTTTCAGTTTACTTGCTTCAGTTGCTTAGTGCTACCACGTATCATCCCTTATGCAATGCTCAAAAGTATAATAATAGCTTGTTTTCATCTTCATTTAAGGAGTAATCATAAACAATTTAAAAAAAAAAAAAAAGGGACAGCCTGGACAATCTGGTGGATGTCTTTTTTTTCCATTTATGGAGCACTCCTTGCACTTATCCAAAATTCCAAAATTATTCTATTTAGAAGTCAGCCTAGAGAACTTCATTTTCAGCATGAAGGAGATTTAGTTACTAAATATCTCCATCATCTTTAAAGTGATGGAGCCCTCCATTACCTTCAGAAGCCTCAGTTTATACCAGTTTCCACTCTGCCCATTCCCAGACACAGCTGCAGACTGACTGCATACTCACAGCTCTCTGGCCATAAACTAATTTCTGGAGATACGGATATCTGAAAAAGTTAAGTTCTCTAATATTCCAAGGCAAACATGCATGGGGTGGTCTCTTTCTCTGTTCTGTTGTCAGCCAATACTGAAACACCCACACTAGTGACCTGATGGCCATGTTAGTCTGCACTAAGAGGTACATCACACACCACTAAGCAGCACCAAACCCTTAAATTCTGCCATCCTAGTGCCGGGTGGCATTTCCTTCCCACCAACCTCTGCATAAGGCTTGATTTCAATAACTTTGCCCTTTTCCTGTTACTGTACCTTTCACCAATCTGACCTTGTAGCACACAACCAGCACTTGGCAGTGCTTTTCTGCTTTCACGAGTATTTTGAGTCTAGCAGAGAAAGTGCTACACAAGGAGAAATGGAGAGCAAGCACAACGGGTAGCAGCAACAAATAAAGCAGCAGCTTGGACCAGGAGGCAATGGTACAGGCAGAAAACAGGGGAATTTGAGAAACCCTCTTATCTTTGGTGGACTGGGAGAGGAAGGAGCCAACTCCTTCCCAGAAGACCCATCTGCCAGGCAGATGGCTGATCAAAGGGAGGTGGTCTTCCAGGGGCCAAACACAAGTCACTTGGAACAGTTTGGGTTTTGGCACAAGCTTGCAATGATGAAAGCTCAGCCCTGTGCTGAGGACAGTACCATGCTTTAGCTACAACATCAACTGAACAGGGTGACGGGAAAGAATGGGCTCTTCATTCACACAGCAAGTTAACTGCATTGTATTTTTAACTGCAGAGAAGCTCCAGTAATGAATTTGTCTCAAAAGGCTCCTGAACATCATGCTAATATTAATTATTTAATTCTTAGCCTCCCAAGAACACTTTCATCTCTAATAGCCAATTTTCAGTCTCTTATTAGAAATATTCCCCTGTTTTACTAAATAAAATAGTCTATTGCAGAAGTAAACATTATTTTTGCTACTGAGTCCAGTGAAATCAGGATTTCAAGCAATTTATTAATAGAATACCACTTTCATATATTCAAGGAAATATTATTTGAAATATGATAATTCATCACTATATTTTCTTTATAGTATGTAAATGAACAAGAAAAAAGCTATTTTCAGAGCTTTCTAAGATACATTCCATTACTTTTATCACATACCTCTGTCTTCTGTAGTTTCTTTCCATACAAAGAGAAGAGAAAGAAGGAAGAATGAGTTATTAGTATGCAGGTCAGTAAGTATGCAGGTCAGCAGTAAGATAGAAAAAATGTAAAAAGAAGAGCAATGTATACAGAATGAAATTTTAGTTCAAAATATTTCTACAAAAACAGTTCACAAATAAACATACTTACAAACCTACTAAATCAGAATAACTTAGAAAAATCATGATGATGGCCAAAGTCAGTGCTGAGTTGGAGGTACAGTTCATGACGGATTTAAGTCTATTTATCGTAAAGCTGCTAGTGAAAGGTTCACTCTTGCCCTCCACCTCCAATACTAATCTCATTGGCTAGATGTGATCTCAAAATGAGCCCTTAACTTTTGGACTTTTACAGAAAAGAGAAGTCCAGATTTTCAAATGCTGTCAGAAACTGAGAGTGATATACAAAGACAGTATAACCTACCTTTCTACAATCCTAATCTTCATGTTTTTTTCCAAATGCTTGTTTCCTTACATATTTCTGAGCTGCCCTCAGCCCTACCTCAGTCTAACAGACCAGCATGGGATGTGACAGTTTGTTATGCCAAACCTCTGGGGCCATGTCCCAGCTGTAGCACTGTCTGCAGCTGAACCTGCCCTGCCCTCCAAGCACACCAAGGACCCAGGGAGGACGGACCTCAAGAGCCAGTCTCACCCAAACAGATGATAAAGTCTGTACCTTGAATCTTTTTTTATTACAAGCAAAGAACCATAAATCCCTCTATTTTTAGAAGAAATCCATAAAAGAAGGAAAAATGAAAAAGATCACTCAGGCTACTGTTATCGATTTGGCCTCTCAGTGAGCACTGACAGTTCTACACCAGGCAAGAACTTTCACCTTATTTGCAAATTACAGATTTTTCTGACCAAAAAATGTGCCTGAATTAATTTCAGCTTAAGCTGACTAAATTAAACATCTGTTTAAGGAAGCATATGGTTAAATGCTTTACTGACAAACTGAAGGCTAATCTTGTTAAATTTACTTCATTATGAGGAAAAATCGATAATTGAATCAGACTGTATTCTTTGTATTTCCTTTGTCAGATACAGTAAAATCATAATCTGATCGTTTACCAAAGGAAAAAAAAGAAAAAAAACCCAAACTGAAATGAGGAATGAATTTCAAACCTGGATCAAGCTCTCCAAAATCACATACAAATGTAAGAAGTGCTTGAAAAATATTAGTACTATAAGAATGTCCCTGTAGAAATATTACTGAAGTAGGATTTTTTTAGATTGCTATTTTCATAACATAATTGGCTACCAGATGAAATACACACATTTCTTAACTGTATTAAGAAGAACAAAACTTACTTACTTGTAACCCCAACCAGTTATTCCTAAAACGAGAGCCAACACTAAAATGGTGCCAGCAATAGCCCCTATTATTATATTTGTGCTAACCACACCTGGAAACACAAGAAAGAGGAAAAATTATAGTGTTTTAGGAGAAGAATACACAAAACCAGTAAATGCACCATTTTTCAAAAACCTGCCTGAACAACTTGTATTAGGTTGATTAATTGTTAGCAGTGATATAATCTTGAAGTATAGCATGGACATAAAAGATCACCTGTAAATCAAGCTTTGATCTCTGTGTCTAATCCCTTAACTGAACACTTGCTACATGGGACAGTCATGTCAGGTATGTCAATACAATATTATCAATATCAAACTGCTGTGGCTTACATCCTTATGAACTGCCTGGCAAATACATGTTTAAGTTGCAATAAAAGTGACTGTCTGGTTTTGTTCAAATCTCTTCTATAGCTGAGTAAATTAACCAAAAGAGATATTCTGAAAGATGGTAAACTGTCCCCCCTACAAGGATTTATAATGCCAAACATTTACATGCTCTTTTTTCCACAGTATAACCTTCTCTTGTAGGCAAGCCTAAAGTCGAATAAAAACTTTCACCCCAAAAACGTAAAAGCCAAAAATTTGTGTGCCGACATGCTGCACACTGGCCATGTAATAAGAAATTTATACTACAAATAAAAACCAATCATGTAAGTAACATGACCTTTCCCTCTGGATATGAAAAGCCCCAGTAACTTTTCTGCTTGTCCTGATCCACTAATACATGTAATAAGGCCCCTCAGATGTCTGGGACAGGCAAGGTAGAGCCGCACACACTGGTACCAGCTCCAAAAGGTGTACTGAGTGCTTGTGAGCAGCACCATGCACATCCAAACCCAGGTCTGAGGCCTCATTTACAGACACTGAGCGCTTCTGCTGTGGGAGGAAGGGAGAGGAACAAGGCTTCTAATGGTGCAGCATGTTGTATGCTAACTGAAAGAGTAGGAGACCTAGTTTTGGTTAAGGAACATTCCTCAAATCCAAGATTTTTCAGTTATTGGTAAAAGTTATAACAACATACCTTTATTGATGGCATCTTTATCAAAAAACAGATAATCTTTGATGCGAGAACTGCAGTCGTCTCCTCCCCAGAATCGGTCACAGACGCACTTTATTTCATTGCTACAAACCTGCAGCCAAAAGTGGAGCTCAGAAAAAAATCAGAAAATTAATCCATTCCCGTAATTAATACCTTAAGTATAGGTACAGTGATAAAGCACTGATTTTGACTGCCTGCAAAATTTTACAAAAAAATTTATGTATTAGATATAAATGCATTAAATGTACTATTACATTTTATATAAATAGAAGTAATATGTATAAAGTACATTAATATCTTTTAATGCATTTATAATTGCTTTCGGAGACTCTGATCTCAAGACTTTTTTTTACAAAATATGATGAAGTGGTTGATTTCAGATTAAAAAGGGAGTTTTAATACAGTATACAAGACAAAAGACATGAGAGAACAACTCCTTTAATCTCATCTCGGCCATAGGGACCTGGACACTGTTTCAAACTGTGAGGGACATGGGGACTTGCCAGGGCCATAGCAAAGCCACAGGCTGTGCACCAAGCAGAGAAGCTGCCACTAGCCAAAAGCTGGTTCACTGCCCCCTCCTCCAAGCAAAGTAACTCTCAGCCAACAAAATCCAACAACCTTATGAACTATCTTGGCTGTTCGCACAATAAGGAGGTTACTAAAAAGAACATCTGGAAAAACAGAGAACCAAGTTTCTCAATGCATAAAACCTTTGTATTTATTCTCCACTACATTGCCAGAAGAAACATCAATCAAGTTAGCAAAAGTGATAGCAAAAAAATTGATTGATAAAATTTTTGTAAAACTAGTACATACTTACACACATACACATTGCTTAAGATGCCTTGATAGGAATGCATTAGGTTTACTTAGGTACCTCCTTACCTTTTCCTTTTGAAAAACTTCTCTGGCATAAAGACTTCTAGAGTCATACTGTTGGCTTCCTGAAAAGTCTGTACAGGTTAGTACACTACACAGTGCCAGGTACTCAGTAAAAACAGTAAAAGGGATTAAAGAGTGCAAGAACATACACCATGTCCTGAGCAAATCTGTCTGTCTGTAGTGCCTGGGCAGGTGCTGAAGTTGAAGGCCTCAGTGGGGAGGCAGCGATGGTCAAGGCACACCATGTTGGGCCCACACGGTGTCCCGTTCTCTACGTATCCCAGGTCCGTCTCCTCATCAAGCTTCACATGGCCACCACTGCAAGACAACCAAGAGGATCTTGGAGACTTGTGCTGTGAATAGATGGGTCTACTTGAGAAACTGGGTTCTGGGCTGCTGCCTTTATTTCTATCAGCATTATACTACACACAGGACCAGTAAGACTAAGTATTGGCTTCGTTATGTCACTGGCTCTAACGTGAAACAAAGTAAAACATAGTATATCTACATCAAACAAATGTAATGGTGAAAACAAAGACCATTTTTCTTGTGAAAGAGCTAGAGTTACATAAAACACTGAGTTTACTTATTTAGGACTTTATTTCATCTTACAGTTCTACGAAACTATGAAAACATACCATGTCTATAACTGGGATTCATCGAACATATAGCAACAAATTAAGCTGCCAGTTAGCTTTGGCAGTGCAGGCATATGTCTTAGTATTTTGGGTACATTAAGTACTTTTACAAATACTAAAGAATGTAAAATCAAGGGGCCTGAGAAGAGCATTATATCTCTACAGGCAAAATTAAACACTGAACAGAGGGGACTGCAAAAGAGTTGCAGGCCCCACAATGCAGTTAATTTCCTGAAGCTTAACAAAGGTTGAAATGGAATAATGGTTATGTGCTAACAGGAAAAAAAACTTCACGGAAATAGTTTTTCTGCACTAAGGAATGATAAAGCAGCTTTTCTATGCAAGATGGATATCCACTGTTCTGTTTTCAGGATTTCCAAATACCTGCAATTGTAGACTCTTCCAAAGTGCAAGATGGATGTTGTGATTTCACCATCAAGTTCTCCAAGTCTGGGCACACTGGATATATTGGAGCATAGAAGGTATCCACAAAGCACATCTCTGCATTGAAAGAATAAAAAGATACTCATAAAAAATAAAATTCAATTAAAATGAATAATAAAAAATATAAGGTTTTCTTCACTTTCTTGGTTACATATTTGCTACTCCTTTTTTCTCCCACTGACAATAACTCCCATAAATAATGTGGTTCCCAAGAAAATTTTTCTCCTTGAGCTTAGATTGGGAAAAATCTGTATTTTATAACGTATTATCAAAAACGCTCTGAGTAACAGCAAGGAGGAAGTTGTCAAGAACAAATCACATCAAACTGATTTAATAACATATCAAAACACAGTAACTTGTCCACAGAGGAGCAACAGTAGATACTGGTTTTAAATAAACTCTCATATGACACATATGTAAGGGAACTGCAGACATGAAGTTTAATTCAACTGCTGAAGCAACTTTTACTTCTCATGTGTGGAGACTTTTACACTGTCAGAATAGTAGGGTCTGGCATCTCACATACTACTGAATATTTTTTACTTATGAATTTGTAATGGAACAGAAGTAAGGTTATCAAATCTGCACAGAAAGGTGGAAAAAGACATCAGTTTACCAGTAGGCAGAACTAGAATTCAAATGGCACTGACAGAATGGAGAAATCTGAAAAAACTGTTTTATAAGGACTGGTGAAAGGTTCAAAAATAGGCAGAAATAATCAACTGCATAAATACAGAACGTGAAACAATGGTTTAGGCAACAACTTGCAGGAAAATATTTGAAAAGTTACAATACAATGAAAAGTGAATGCAACTTAGCAATGCAATGGCACAGCATAAAAAGATACCACACCAAGACGTGAGACCACAGGCTACTCTCCCCCTCACTGCTAAGCCTCACCAAGAGTACTAGGGCCACTTTTGGTCCAAGTTTTCCCAAGCTCAGATGGTGCTCTCTTGTCAGAGATCATCTCTTCTCAACACTCTGCTTCCTCCACAACTTCTTGCACAAAGGTCTGCAGAAGGCGGCCAAGAGAATTCTGATCCACACAGAGGCTTTTTGAGCCTCTTCATATCAGCTAAAGAAATGGATCAGGGATCAAAAAACTCATACCAGTTGTTTTCTAAATGGATCAACTTACTGTTTATTGCACTGTATCCAAGACTCTTTGTCTCTTCCACAGTTTCCTTTCTCAGTTCCTTCAATATTCAGCTTCTCATAGCAGTACCTGTCAGCAGCCGTCACTTCTAAAAACAGAAACAAATCTCTTCTAAGATGATGATGACTTTGAAAAGCCAGGTCACAGGAAATGGGAATGCACAATCAAGAAAGCAGGGTTTCCCAATTTGTGAACTGAAGTACCATGATATGCAGGGGGTCCATGAAACTGCACAATGTTCTTCTGAATTAAAAGAGATTTTAGATTTTGTTCAGATTGATGAGGGGTTATTGGTCAAAAATGTCCAAAAGACACTGAAATTAATTAATGAACCCTAATGGAGACTAATGAGCCTAAATTAAAGAGTATAGACTCCCTAGGTGATTATTAATGAGAACTTAAACCTCAGACTTCAGAGTAAACACCAGTAGGCTAACAAACACTGGAGAAAGAGCTGGAAAAGAGGATGGAAAGATGAAATGAAGGGGGAAGAGTCGGAGGGACATATAGTTCTAGATATTTTCAATGGTTCTCAATATGTCTCCTCCATAATTTTTTTTAGCTAAAATAATCTTTCAAGCCACATGAATTACAACCAATGTAGAAACAATAACATTCACTCACTTTCACCCCAGATATATTTACATTGCCGGTCCCTGGTTTTACATCTTCCTCCAAAACAAATACCCTAGAAAGAAAGAAAAAAATACAGAACAGGTTTCAAATCACTTGATTTTCCAAAATATGTATTTTTTACTCTACAGATTTGTCACACGCTTTCTACTGAGGGAGCTAATGTGATTCTAGCTTTTTTTCATTGAAAATATGACAAGCACCCAAAACTCATGAATGTTAGCAGAACTGTCCCAGGTGACTTCCAAAGATCTTAAAAAATAAAATCTATAAAAAGCTATTTACAACAGCAGAAAGAACGTAAAACAAACTGAAGTGCTAATTACCTGTTTGTTATCACATGAATATCCATCCATTTTATGAATATTAGGAGAACACTATAGAAATATAAAATAAGTAATAGATCATAGATCAGACAAGCATGAAAGCAAAGTATACAACAAAAGTAATATGAAAAATTATTTCAGTATCATGCTGGTTTCTTCAGTATCAACAGGTTTAACACAATTTTTATTTACCTTACTACACAAAACAGTAACATTCATTGTGATTGCGACACTACATGTGGGATTTTTAGTCTTTGGATAGAAGACACAAAAATCACCTGACTAGAATTTCCTGTGCAGTTCTCTGCAATATCACAATCATTCACCGCTTCTCGACACAAAACTCCTTTAGGTTCAAACTGGAAAAAAAAGAACAGAAAATTAGTTTCTTCATTTCTCCATATCTTGCCTTAAATGCAATGCTTCCTTATAGCTTTATCTAAAATAAAAAATGGGAAATATTCATGTGCTGACTGAAGTGCAAACACTTTCTGTGGTGTGACTGCCGCACCACTCAAGCCTTTTACTCGTGCAAGTGATACCACTCTCTGAGGCACTCCCTCCCAAGTGCATCAACTGGGGGACCAAGCAGGAGAAGTGCTCTCCTGGAACACAGAACACCTGGGATTTATCAAACCAATACCACAGTGGCTTTCAGCATTATCCTGACCAGGTCATCGTGCCGTTCTATGACTATTTTAGTCTTCTTTACAACATAAAAAGAGTGATCCTGATCCTCTCTCTAGGAGTGAAGAACACCACAGAGCTCCATGGCTGAACACTCTGGTTATCATAATCCCCCACTGTTGTTGCAGAATGGAAACTATTACTAAATGTACTGAATTCTGTACATAATTTTCCAAGTGACCAGATATTTAACAATTTTCCAAGTGACCAGATATTTAACAATGGGCTAAGTCTCAAGACCTGGAAAAGCAGGAAGACATCCCATTTGTGGAAATTGTTAGTGCTTCTGGTCATGGACATACTACAGATGCCTTATTTTATCCTGAAAGTTTTCTTAACCCTGTGATACCCAATACATTTTGCAGCACTGAGTTTTCCTTTTTTTTGGTCTACATGCACACACATTTTGGTGGGGAAAACTGCTAACTCCACAACTGGTGCCAACGGGCCCAATCAGTGGAAGAGCTAGACTAGGGTACTTTCTGAGCCTTCAGCTTCCTTTTCCTACCGGTCTTTGGAAAAATGCAGACAGGAATTTTGTCAGAGACATTACAGGATGCTAGGATGTACACTCACCATGTTTTGCTTTCAATCCATCCTTCAATCCTGCTTTCAGGCAGGGTATTACAGGGGAAGGTAACTCCAAGTTTGGGAACTCTTATATATGGTCTTTTGAGTTGTCCTGATTAGCACCTCCTGGGGATACCTGTTCTGCAAAATTCTACTTTTCTGTTCATTTGCTCACCCTTGCCACTCTGTATGTAGATAAAACCTTGTGTTCTTTGCAAAAAATACAGAAGCTTAGTTTTGTTCTGATAGTCTTTAAGGTACTGCCTATGTGACTTGGATTCTTGAACAAAATTCACCCACACTAGCAATCTGCTGATTTTTTTTTTTATATTACATTAAAAAAAGGAATGTGCTAAGGGAAATGTGATCTGTTCCAGCATAATCTGTGCTTTTTCTTTTTTTAACATTAGGATGAGCAAAACGTCGAGAATGTGGTCCGCAGTTATTACTAATGATCCTCCCAAGGAAATGAAACCATCAAATGTGCACAGACAAAGATAAAAATATCACACATAGTACACCAGAGTTTTAATTACATTAATACTAATTGTCATTATTACTAAATGAGTATAAACAACTATCTGAAGTCATATTTAGCTGGGCTCCCTTACAGCCAAGATCTGGTTAAACCTCTTTTTACTATTTACTGATGTATCAGGAAGAACACCTTACAGTTTACATAGGGCTTGGTTCTTTTTACTCAATGGGGTTTCAGTCAGTCCAAACATAAGGAGACACAGGCAGACCAAACTGAAACTGAAGTCATGTGTCTTTTAGACGAACCCTTCTGAACAATTCTGCTACCTGTGCTTTTGGTTTTGTTACTCTATCCTTTTCTCAGACCCTCTGTGGTACAATTTTCCCATTCAGTCTCATGGGGCAAATCCAGAGCAGCACGTATGGCACTGCGAATGGCACAAGGACATCTAATGAAATCTCATGGAACTTCAACCTGATTAAAACTTCTCTGAAACTGGAAGGATTTAATTTACCTCTGCATTTGATGACAGTCCCTGCCCCAAGAAGCCAAGCCTAAAAGACAGAGTATAGCCCCAGACAAATCAGATTTCAGCCAATTTTAAAAGGTAAGCTTTCAGAAGAGCAATCACAAGGTCTGGAAGGGATGTGGTACCTGCAGCCACCCGGATGCATTCCCACCAGGATGCTGCAGTGAAGGTCACTGCCCTTACCCGGCACTTCCGACAGCAAAGCCCGTTGCTGCACTGGGAGCCCGCTGTCAGGGTGCAAGTGTTGCAGCACTCTCCTCCTTCACTGGCACACTCCTGAGGAACACACACACTTATAACAGAATACATGGGAAAAGCACATGAGCCCCAAGCTCTCTTATTACTTCTCATCTCAGCATGCTACCTGAATGGAATTCTAATCAGGCTTTTAGGCACCTGGAAGAAGAAAAAGGCATGCACTTGTGGGGCGTGAAACTGCTGTTTCCTATGCAATATAGAAAATAATTTTTCTAACTTCATATTGTCAATCATTAAATACTGACATTTTAGCACTGACCAGAGTCGTGTTCCCAACTAGCAAAATACTTTCTTTAACATCTTTGAAGGCCTGATTCTGCACAGGCAGGTATTACTATTACTCTTCAGAATTTATGTGGTGATAAAATAAAAAAGCTGGACCACATTCTGTTAAACATGATGGAAAATGTAAGAAGTTCTGAATTCTTTGGCACAGGACCTTCGCATTGCTTGTCTTCCCCCACTTATTGTTAATGGCAGCAACGGGCAGCACCAAGTCTTGGAGAATCTAGTTACTCACTTAAAGTGCATTGTACTTACTGCTATTGTCCCACAGTCACATTCTTCTCCATCTTCCACAAAGCCATTGCCACATTCTGGAGGATCCAGAAGCTGCAGGGCAAATGCAGAAATCAAAGGGCATGTCTCTCCTAAGGGAATCATTGTCGTATTTACTCTGTGCAACATGGTTTTTTACCTAGCACTCTAAATTTATTAACTGAAAAACAGTATCCAGTCTGAAACAGACTAAGAGAACACAACTGAGGTGTACAAAGAATGAACACTGCTTTAAATTAGTTCAGCAATACTGCCCAGTCACATGGTAACTTCCATGCATAACTGTCAGTTTTACAGCAAATTCAGTTTGAGCAGAAGTTACAATGAAAAACAAAAAATGTGACAATAAAGGAAGAAAATTAAAACAATATGATGCTTTCATTATCTTCACAGTGGTTGCAATTGCTGTTGTTCTGAAATTCAAGGGATGAGGGCTCAGAGGTTAAAGCCTGCACTGTAAGTTCAGAAGGAAAACCCATAAAAATTTCTCCTTTGGTAGTATGTGGCTTAGAAATGCATGGAAAGTCAAGCAGCTGGGTTTCTTTGTCAGTTTTTGTTGTAGTTGGATTTTTCTTTCCCTTTTCCTCTACCACAGTTGGGAACTTTCAGCAGTTTTCTATAAGCGTGTATCACATAAGGGAGATGAGGAAGTATAGCTGGTGAGACTTCCTCCCTTTCCTTTCAGTCTTCCCACTGAACCGTAACTTAAAATATCTAAATCTGTATACTTGTGTGCTATACTCTCTTCTAATGAACACTTAGACACTCATATTCTATTCTTTCCAGTTTCATTGTTTCTGTTTTTCTAAAATTACAACACATAATTCTTCTAAAAGAAAATAAATGAGAAGGCATATAAATGTATCATAAGATTAAAATTTTGCAGATTGTCCTCTAAGTTCTCTTGTGCCATCTGCACAAGTACATCATTCATGGTGTAGAGTGCATTTCTCTCCACCTGCTGCCTCTCTGTCAGTAGTCCACAGGATGAAGCATCACCCCGCGCATTTCACTGTGCCACAAACCACAGCCTGACACAGGTTGATGTGCTATTATTAGATCCCCCTATTGAAATGGAAATTTGACTGCAGCATGAAATGCATATGTAGAATTTAACATAAAATGTATGCAAGCAATTATCTTTTAGAGTTACTAAGGAGTTGTAAAAACTGCTTGTTTCCTATGTATTTTTCCAGACATCTTAACTTCTTCCTTATGTCTAGGTGGGCTGCAAAACAGAGACAAGGAGATGGCAGTAACAGAGCATCCTGCCTTGAAAAGGCCTTGAGGGGAAGCCATATAAGGAGTGGCTGAGGTCACTTGGTCAGTTCAGTCTGGAGGAGACTGAGGGGAGACCTCATTGCTGTTACAACTTCCTCGTGAGGGGAAGAGGAAGGGCAGGCACTGATCTCTTTCTTCTCTGTGGTGACCAGTCACAGGACCTGAGGAATGGCCTGGAGTTGTGTCAGGGGAGGTTTAGGTTGGATATTAGAAAGAGGTTCTTCACCCAAAGGCTGGTTGGGCACTGGAACAGGTTCCCCAGGGAAGTGGTCAGAGCACCAAGCCTGACAGAGTTAAGGAAGTGCTTGGATGATACTCTCAGGCATATAGTGTAACTCTTGAGGATGGTCCTGTGCAGGGCTAAGGGTTGGACTCGATGATCTTTCCAACTAGGCATAATCTGTGATTCTGTGAAAATATTGGGCCAATTTGCTACAGTACACAGGGACAGCTAAATATGAAATTGAAGAAAAAAAAACACATTAAAAGCAAATTGTGTAACTTTTCCCAAAATTTATATTATTCATCCATTCATTTGAAAAGCGCATATGTTCAATCTGCTTCAGCAGCCACTGATGTAATTTTCGGGATCATAGCTGATCTAACAGTGGAGCACTGTCAAACACTGCATCTTGTCAAATCAACTTTCCTTTATCTCATAATTTCTGAAAAGCAAAAGTAAGTTTGTGTTTCACCGTCCTTGCTAGGAAACACATCTTTGACAGCTTTGTGAATTAGACAGACATCCATTGACAATACCTTTAAACAAACTCAATCACAATATATAAAAGAGTCACCATGGCTTCCACATCTAACTTCCACATTTCTGCATGCCATTAGAAACAAATTGTAAATATGCCAAACTAAATTGGAGCAGGGCAATTGTTTTTTTTTTCAAATGACAGATGTGTAAACAAAATCACTAAAAGAAGATCACAGAATCATAGAATCACAGAATCACAGATTAACCGGTTTAGAAAAGACCTCCAAGATCATCAAGTCCAACCCTTGATCCAACACCGCCATGGTTACCAGACCATGGCACTAAGTGCCACATCCAGTCTCTCCTTAAAAACCTCCAGGGACAGTGAATTCACCACCTCCCTGGGCAGCCCATTCCAGTGTCTGATTACTTTCTCTGTAAAAAATTTCTTCCTAATATCCAACCTAAACCTCCCCTGGCACAGCATAAGATCATCCACTCTTGTCCTGCTGCTGGTTGCCTGGGAGAAGAGACCAACCCTCATGTGGCTACAACCTCCTTTCAGGTAGTTGTAGAGAGTGATGAGGTCTTCTCTGAGCCTCCTCTTCTCCAGTCTAAACAACTCCAGCTCCCTCAGCCTCTCCTCATAGGACTTGTGCTCGAGATCAAGTAAGTCACATTACACTATGTAAACAATTCACTCAGCAAAGAAATAAAACCACCAGTATTTCTCTTCACCCTTAACAAACTTTTAAAATGCATCTGCATTCTAAATTAGAAATCTTACATCTTATTAATGAATTACAGTGCTTTCTCTCCATTTTTAATAATACATTATTCCATGAAAAGAGACCTTTAGGAGAAAAGCAGTCTCAGCTTGTCCAGATCTGATGCCTTCTCTTCCCCTCTCTAACATTTATGGAAACTTTGTGGTTGTCAGAAGATGCACTTTTTCTCAGATGCACCAGAAGGAACATGCATCACTCCTGAACTGGCTTTCTTCTCTTTTACATCTGTGTCCATCTCAGTTATCAAGTCTTTTTTCCACACTGGACTGTCTTTCTGCCTTAGCCTCTTTTCTTTGCTTGTTGAAAGACAGCCATTAAGCAGAGGCTAACATTAATTATATATAGAAAAGAGCCAAGACCATTATTCTGCTTGCTTTACGTTTTAACATGTGCTTCAGTAAACAGAGCAGGAATACACTGAAACACTGCTGCAAATCCTCCACTGCAGAAGCCCTTGCACCTTGGCTGGAGTTTCTTTAGTCTTGCTTTGTATTTACCTGCCTTAAATGTCTGGTGGTGGGGCAAGGCACCCCCTGCAGAGGCTATAGAAGTCATGTCTTCATCTTGGGACAGATGTGAAATAAAAATGATCCTACTTCAGCCTCCAGAGATTTGTACCAAAAGACATTTAATGCAAATTAGAAAACAAGCTGTGCAAAAGTTTACCAAGACACTTGAAACCCCAGTAAATACAGTCAGTTGTAATATATAACATAATACAATACAATAATATCATACAAATATATAATACAAAAATGTATTGTATTTACAATATTCAGAATAAACTGCATGAGGGATGGTTCTAGATCAAAGGCTCTGGGAACTCTGTTGGACATGAAACCACTTTATTAAAGATGTATTTAAATATAATTTCCAAACTACTATGAACTAAAATAATCTACTTAGACCCATATGTTGCCAGAATAGTTAGAACTAAGCAAAAAACCAGAAATATAAAAATTACAGTTTTTTCCCCAACATTATAATTTTCATTTTTCTTGGTTTCATCTAAATTAGGAATAGAATAGAAATAATACTCAATAATAAGGTAATGCTTACTTTGGTTGGTTTATTGAAAAGGCAGGCACCACCTCCATTGTTTAAAAATTCATGATACTCTTCAATATCACACTCAGAGAACTTGCTTGGAAGATAGTACCTGACAGAAATAAGGTAGCAGGATTACTTTCTCTAGTGCTTTTTACACTGTATTTTCTTTTTTCAAAATAGGAGAAATATGACATTATAGTTTAGAAAAAGTATAAAAGCATGCTGTTCAGAATCAAAGTGATTCTTTGTAAGTCTATCTAATTGGAAATCCTTTCAGTAAATGACAAGGAAATTTCAACAATGACATAGAGCTCATGGAAAGTGAGAGGTTTAGAACATTTCACTAAACTTTTACAAGTCAAGGATCACAAGTCTTATTACACAGTGTGTAGTTCTCACAAGTGTGACTTGTTCCACTAACAGGCCTGATCTCAGAAATATATTTATTTCCCATACATACTGCAAGAGACAAAGACTGATCGTAGTTTGTTTCCCTCTTAGAGGAAATTGCTCTCCTGGCCCACAGAATTTTCATATAATGGAGTTATGCCATTTTAAACATGCTTCTAACAAACACCATCTAACATTTCAGCTTCCCCCTATCGTGTGTCCCACTCAGTAAATTTCAGTTGAGTACAGAGCGCCAATCTGAGGCACAGTGCCCCACCTAAAAACCATATGAATCTTTGCATGGATCCTTTCCACAGGGAAATAATTTTTCTCAAAGCAACTTCAGTGATCTTTATATTCAGGTGCATAGTCATGAAAGTAGTTATGCTTCAAGCAGATTGTGGAGTCTCAAGGGCTTTCCTCTATCAGCTCATCACAGAATAAAAAAAATATTAGCCAAAGTGTTATCCTTCATTGCTAGGAGTGATTACTGGCCCTTTCCATCCCTAGCGTTCATCACTTAGGTCTAAACACTACAGAGATTGTGGAATTCACCAACATTCATCAATAAGCTAGGTAAATAAAAGGTTTTTTTGTGTACCTAATTATTTGAAAGGTTTGAACATCAGATAAAGAATTTTAAGACCCTTAAATAAGAAAGCACTTTTTCAAGAATCAAAAATGTTTCTCTGATTTGATTTTTAACACACTAGAAATCAGAAAAATCCTACCGTATATGTTTTCAGGTATACCAAGGTGAAAAATGCACACATTCATACTTTCAAAGAGTTTTGGATGAAATACACTTTGTTCAAAATTTTTCTGACCACAAAGCTATTGTGAAAATTTGCAGATCCACTTGAAATGAATTAAAAACTTGGAGCACTGCCTACATCTAAAACTAGACTACAGTTTAACTCACACACATGATGAAAGAGAAGCCTGTAATAAGAATTAAGGCCTGTATACACATATTAGAAGGCATCAAGTTTCAATCAGTAACAAAAATTTGCTGATTCACTAGTTCTTAGGTAAAATCTCTCCAGGTACACTCAGCCTCCAATGGGAGTGTTTTTTTCTGACAATATCACACAACTTGAGGGATAAAAAAATGATAGATACAGATGAAAGATTCCAACAGAAACACTGAAAATGAGACATACTTCAGAAATTTGATTACAGTATTTCAAGAATTAGGGTATGTCATTGTTTGTTCCCATAACTCAACAGCAAACATGCAGGAGAAAAGAAGCTACGCATGCTTCTGCTTCTTTGCAATAACATGGCTTGACTGTTGAAACCAGTGCTTTTAAAGTTAAATCAGCATTCACCAAAAATTCTCACATATCCTCTCATTAAGTCACTTATTTTCACATTTCTTTGAAAGTATCTAAGGTACATAGCTAATTCCTTACTTTCTGAAAAATGAGTCACCAAAAATATTCCGCTGAACCACAAGAGGGAAACATTTTCACACCTTTCCTTTATGTCACTGTATAAAGAACATGACTTTCCTCTAGTGAAATGCCTTACCCCATATCTCCCATTATGCATCCAGACCACATGTCCTCACACTTACACTCACCTGACAAAAAAAAAGATAAAATCAAAAGTTATATTTTGAGTCTTGTGAGTCCAAAATAATAACTTTCTTATCACAAAAACCACACTGTACTCAATTCTATTTCATATTTTAATACAAGTTGAAAAGAACAATTTTTTTGTTTATTGCACACCTTAGTTTAAGTGTATCAGTCCATGCTGCCAAACTTTTTCTAAAAACTATGCATGATTCTATGCAATCCTGAGCTTTAAAAATATGTCCTGTTTTTCTTTCCTTCTCTTAAAGCGAAGTTAGAGGAAACTGCAGTGTCAGCCTTTAGCACTTGCAAATCATGAGTCAGCTCTCCCGTCTTCTCCTGTGTGATATTCAATTCCCAAATTTTCAGAGTAAAAAAAAGAATCATTTTAACCCTTCTATTTTTTAGTTCTTTTCTTTGACTACACTAATGTGACTGGGGAAATTTCCACTCGAAAAAAATCCCTAACAATAAGGCAGACAAAAAAAGCATAAAACAGTCAGTAAACACAAGGCAATACAGCAGGATCTATCAGCTTCTTCCTCTGCTCTCCCTCCCTTTGCCCTGCAACTCCCTGGCTGGCAGAGGGCAGTCCTCACTTCTGCCCTGCCAGCCTGCCTGGGGTCACTCTGTTTTGGTCTCAGTCCACCACTTTCATTACTGTGTCTTCTTTCTGTTTCAGTAGAAGTGCTTTGTACATACACATTCTGTAACTTGCCTTACTGTACACATGAACATCAGTTTATTGCTTCCATTTTAAGAGTACAACTAGAAAGGAAATGAGGCTCTGTCCAACAGTTGAATTCTCCCCTCTCCCCACCAAAACAGTGCCCTGCCTCCCTCAGCCATTGAGAAAGGGAATCGCCACTATTATAATTTTCACTTTTACCCTGCCCCTATATCAGCTCAAAAATATGCAGATGGAAAATGAATGCTGAACATGTCTGTAGCATAGAGCATCCGCCCTACATTTCTGAGTATTTTTAAAAATAGAATTACATAATCTGCAAAATCCTTTAAATGCAGATATATCCCTGCATTATATACTTTCTTTACAATGTCTGTAAACAAAATCCACCTAAGCAGAGTTCTATTACTAAAATAGTAATTTATCTTTTTTAAGCCACAAAAGTACATATGATCCAATAAGTAAACACTCCAATTCATCATATAAATTGTTCAAAACTGTATTTTTATTTTAATCATATCAAGGCTGGGACTTAATATAACATGGAAGCAGGGAGGGCGAGGTGCTTGTTGTGGGAGATTTGAATTAAAGTACTGCATATAAACAGGGGTTACTAAGAAGTTGAATACCAAGGTTACAGGAGAGAAATGGTAGCAGTAGGGTGGTAAATACAAGGTATTAGTGTAATCTACAAGAGGAACTGGGCATTTGGGAAATCTACAAGAAAATCAATCAAGGAAAACGGAGAAAAAGTTATATTGTCAAAACTATTTTGCGTAACAGTATTAAGCTTACTCCTCATCATCCCCAAGTCTAATAATGTATGTTTCCACCCTTGTGCTGTAAGACGGCAGCTGTTTGGTCCATGGATGGAACACCAATCTCCCTGAAATGAATGAAAGTGGCAGACACCTTTATGGTTTATTTTGAATGAAACACTGACACCAGTGCTGCCAGGAATTATGAGCAGGGGGATATCATACTATTTAAATAGTGGAAAATTAATGATTCTGATCACAGAATACGCCTAGTTAGAAGGGACCCACAAGGATCATCGAGTTCAACCCTTAGCCCTGCACAGGACCATCCCCAAGAGTCACACCATGCGCCTGAGAGTATCATCCAAGCACTTCCTGAACTCTGTCAGGTTTGGTGCTCTGGCTACTTCCCTGGGGAGTCTGTTCCAGTGCCCAACCACCCTCTGGGTGAAGAACCTCTTTCTAAGATCCAACTGAAACTTCCCCTGACACAACTCCAGGCCATTCCCTCAGGTCCTGTCACTGGTCACCACAGAGAAGAAAGAGATCAGTGCCTGCCCTTCCTCTTCCCCTCACGAGGAAGTTGTAACAGCAATGAGGTCTCCCCTCAGTCTCCTCCAGACTGAACAGACCAAGTGACCTCAGCCGCTTCTCACACGGCTTCCCCTCAAAGCCCTTCACCATCTTCGCTGCCCTCCTTTGGACACTCTCTAATAGCTTAATGCCTTTTTTATATTGCAGTGACCAAAACTGCACACAATACTCAAGGTGAGGCCATCACAGTGCAGAGCAGAGCAGGTCCTGTCCCTTGACCAGCTGGAGATGCTTTGCCTGATGCCCCCAGGACATGGTTGGCCCTCCTGGCTGCCAGGGCACTGCTGACTCATGTTCAACTTGCCATCGACCAGGACCCCCAGGTCCCTTTCCGTAGCACTGCTTTCCAGCACCTCATTCCCCAGTCTGTATGAACATCCAGGGTTGCCCCATCTCAGAAGCAGAATCCAGCACTTCCCCTTGTTAAACTTCCTATGGTTGGTGATTGCCCAGTCCTCTAATTTGTCGAGGTCTCTCTGCAGGGCCTCCCTGCCTTCAGGGGAGTCATCAGCTCTTCTGAGTTTTGTGTCATCTGCAAACTTGCTTAGTATCCCTTCCAGTCCTGTATCCAAGTCATTTATGACAGAGCTCTGTGGAACCTCACCAGTGACAGGTCACCGGCCTGATGTTGCCCCATTCACTATTACCATCTGTGCTCAACCCATGAGCCAATTGCTCACCCACTGCATGATGTGTTTATCCAGCTGTATGCCAGGCATTTTGTCCAGAAGGATACTGTAAGAGACAGTATCAAAGGTTTTACTGAAATCCAAAAAGATTACATCGACTGGCTTCCCCTGATATACTAGATGGGTTACCCTGTCATAAAAAGAAATCAGGTTTGATAAGCAGGGCTTTCCTCTCATGAAGCCATGCTGGCTGTGACCATGTCTGTCCCTTCTCATGTTATTACAAGAAATAAAAATATTTCAACATTGTGAGAAAAAGAAGGAAGAAATACATGTCAGAGAGATACTAATAAGATTCTCCACATTTAAAGATTTTTTTATTCTTGAGATAGAGTGAAAAAACAAATAACCTTACCACTTATAATTTTTCTTCTGTCTGAGAAAATGCCAATGTTTTGGGCCAAGGTCTGTGCCAGGGTAACTGCCATCAAGTCTGGCTTTCCAAACTGACAGAAATAAGCAAGGTATGAAAAGTAATCAGTTACATACAGGTATCTCAGATTCAAGTGAAGTTTTTCTTAATTCAAAGAAATAAAAGGCAAAATCACATGCACAATGTTAAGCGTTCTTACTTCAGGGTAGCTAGATAATGAACAAGTGAGGAAAACTAAACACTGGCTTATGGATAAGTTAAGTAAGAGAAAGTCAGTTTATTTCTTGCTATTGTGGTCAGATTATGTGACCAATATGTCTGTTCTTGAACAAGCAGCAGTCACAAGTATTGAGGCCATGTTGCTGAGAACACAGCTGCGCTGGGCAGGGCACGTCTCAAGGATGAAGGACCACCGCCTCCCTAAAATCCTGCTTTATGGTGAACTTGCCACCAGCTGCCGCAAGAGAGGAGCCCTGAAGAGGAGATACAAGGACTCCCTGAAACAACATCTCAGCCTTGGCCATATTGATCAACATAACTGGTCTACTCTGGCCTCCAATCGGGAGGTCTGGAGACACACCATCTATAACGCTGCTGATGCTTTTGAGAAAGCACGCAGGATCACCCTTGAGGAGAAAAGGCAACGCAGAAAGAATCGTGCCTTGCAGAATATACCACCTAAGGAGTCTTTCTGTTGTGCCTTTTGAGACCGGACGTGCCTGTCTTGTATTGGCCTTTTCAGCCACCAACGCGCTTGCAACAAACATGGGTAGAGCCCTTCCCAAATCTTCGTTCGCGAAGCCCAGCCATGATTGTGGCTGCAAATATGAATGACAGGATATTGCAGAACTTGCTGAAAAGTGTATTTGAATCTATATCTGACTTTATTCACTCATCACTTCATTGAGATGTCCCTTCTATAGAGCTGCACTAAAATTCTGAATCAGTAAAGAAAAGGAAAAATATTTTGAGGAACATATCTGCACTGATAAATTCTGTGCAGATAAATTTCCACCACTTTTTGCTCATACCAGTATCCCCACCTACCTCATTCACACCTCCGCCTTTAAGCAAGGAGCAGATTCCACCCGTGTGGGCTATTCCACTTCGACTGCTCTGAAATCGACTCCCCCTTTGACAAAACGGAAAAGAAATGGAAGTTTACCCTGATCAGTCCATGAGTTTTGCATCTATCTATTCCAGTATCTACCCTTCTGATTTTCAAATGAGAAGCTGGCATTTGCAAATGCTGGTTGCCACCACTACACTGCAAACTGTGCAGAAACAAAATGGGAAAAACAGATAACCACTCACACACCTCACATGACAAATTATCTCCAGAAAAGTTATACCATCTTGCCTCCTCCTTCTCAGAATACCGAATACAAGAAGGTATAAGAAGAGGACTATTTTGCCAAATCACCTGGATCCCACGAGTCCTTTGTTTCTTGACATACCACCGCACTGAGTGACTTCTGCTGGCACATGCTACAGGCAGAGTGCAGGAGAGGCCATCATGCTGCCAACGCAGGGGAACTAGTAAAATGACACTGTCTAATTAGGCAATGCTGATGGTAAAACTCATAGGGAGATGCATTAGTGGAAGATGCAGAGGTAGGTGAAAATTCCCTGAAACTGCAGTCCATCTCATCCAAGGAACAGATGCACTCCAAGCCTAAATCTAGTCACCTCTTTGGCGCTGACCACATCAGCATGAATGACTGCCAGTTACTGGAGACAAAATATACTCTGCTTTGCTTGAGAGTACTGATCCATCTGAGCCCTGGCAAGTTATTTTTCTCAAAAAAATAAGAAAACCATCGAGAAGCAATACAATGGGCTAACTGCGATGAAGGTGAAAGTTCATTTGTAACCACCGTACCATCACACTGGCTAACCTCACCTCCCAGCTTAGCCATGTCTCACTCAAGTTCAGAAACTGCTATTTCTAAACAATCTATGAATGCAATACCTCAAACACCATTTGGTGGCGCTATAGATAGCATTAGAATTAGCATTACAGGCCAAATCAAGCTCTCTTCTGTCATAGTCAATCCACACATATTCACAAGAACAAGACATCCCCCCAAAGATCTTACAATATATCAGAGAACAACCATGAAGGATGTGAGAAAACCTGATTCCCATTTAACAGATGAAGATCTGAGTCATGGAGAAACAAAAATCTACAAGCACCACTTGCAGATCTTAGCTTTCTTCATGACAGAAGTCAATGACAGTAATTAAGCATGTGCAAAAATTCTGAGAGGATGGATACTGGGCTTGGGTATTCTGGAACCATACTGGAGTAATGTAAAAGTGGGGTGTTTAAGTTAAGTTTATTCATATAGGATTCTAAAATAGTCAGCGCAGAGAAAAAAGGACCCCAAAAGATATTCATACAGCCTGTCTGTTGTGGATCAAAAATCTCAGCCATGAACCTCTCCTCTGTTTTTGGAGGTTCTATTTTATGACATCAATCTGATTTCCAAAACAATTAAGATATTTAGAGAAAATAACATTCCTCTCGTCTTATTCTTCTTATAGCTCAAATGTCTTGGGAGAACAAACTGTTTGGAGGATCTGAAGTACTTCAGTAATCCTGCAGCATGCAGGTCACTCAGTAAAGTAAAGCAGGCCATAGTGTGCTAAAGCAGGAAACCTCATTGGTTTCAAAACTGATGTTCTGCTTTTAAATAATACAACAGGGCCATCCATGCTCTGCTGCTGAAGAAGCCATCCTCCAAGGTGGAACCATGCATGACCCTCCAGGTATCTGCGTTTGTGGATAGGTAATTGCACAGAATAACAAAGGATTACAGCACATGCAGCTCAGTCTTAGTACGTTAAAACTAAAACGAGAGTCAAACCTCTAGTTGCATTGGCAGGCAATCTGAGCATTATCTTTTCCCCACCTCCCCACTCAAAACATTTTTTCTGAATTATTGTGGATTACATACACAACAGAAAGGAGATGCATGAGCATCTTGTGAGAATCAACCCCCAAGGAAAGAAAAAGCCCAGTAATAAAACATCACAGGAGGTTACGTACGAAAAAAGGTGAACTGCGTCACTTTTCTCTCTGATAAAATCCCTCCTATATTTCATAAACTCACGCAGGGTCACCAAGGGATTTTCAGATATGGTGAACTTGTTATCAGTAGCCCAGGTTTCCATGGCAACCAATACTATCCTGGTGTTAAGTTGTTCTTTATATATCTAGTATATTAACAGAATGAACAAATACATTATGTCAAATAGAACAAAGGTGAGTTTTACCCTTTCTCGAAATAGCTTGCATTTTTACATAACTAAATAATTAGCTTCTTCTAGCACAATTTAGGTTCTCCCAGGTGATTTTATCTCCCTTAAAACCAACAAACATGAAAACAAAGTAAAATCTAAATTTTAGGCCTAATTCTTCAATCAGCTCTCTTAGTCTGCAAAAAGATCCCTTGTAGGTCCTACACAGGTAGAGGTGCATAGAAGAAAGATATGATTTTTGAAAAATTACTATAGAACCATTCCAAATACCACAAAGATTTGGAATTAATGGGTCTTTTATAAATCCAGCTTACCCCAGTGACACACAAAGGCTCTCTTGTACTGAATAGTGATCTATAAAACCATATTTTTTACTGTTGTACACCTCTACAGGAGTATTTAACCTTATGCTGGCTGAATCACGAAAAAGAGGCTATCCTTTCAATGCTGGGGGTTAACACTCCACACCAAATACTTTTAAGCATTTTTTCTACTAATACTGTTCTTTTTCTTGCAATACTTTAGTGGAGTGAGGTGCAAGAGTCAGCATCTCATCCAATTTAGCATCATAGATATAATCCACAAAGCCCACCTCTACATCCCTATTCTAACTCATTTACTCAAATGCACTTTTTCTGGAGAATTTTAGTGCATTCTTATTTCAGATTGTCTTTTGGCTTTCAAGTTGTCAACACAGGGATCTTGTGTTAAAAATTGTCCTATCTAAGGTACTCTTTAATACCCAGACTCAAGACACTGATCCAGCAGAATACTTAAACATTTGAAGCCACAAGAAGTCTCTAATGCTAGACAAAGGCTTTATAGGTGGCTGACTGTGGTTCTAGATGAAAATTTGTGATCTTCACATACATTATTATTGGAATACAATGAACTGACAACTCCTGCATATATCGCCAGGAGAATCATATGACTCATCTCACACATAAAAGAACATTTAGTTGAGTGATACTTACTAAATCTGCCATGTTCACAACTGATTTAGCATAGCTGTTAGTATGGCCGACTGACAAGCGGTGCTTCTTACACTGCGAAACGAACACAGACAAGTTACACATGCAGAATTCAGAAAAATAAGCTCCATTTCCAAAAAAGAATGAAGTAAAAAGCAACTATGTCAACAGTAAAACCCCTGTGCAAAGTTTGGTCTCCTGTGCTGAATGTAATGACAAGAAGCAATACTGGAAAATTGCTCAGAAATTCAAATTACTGATATACTTTACAACAGCTGTTGCGAGGACCTATTAATTCCTGTTTGGAAAGTACTCTAAGGCCTTTACTGGGAAATGCTATAAGAACCACAACATATTGTTACTCTTCTTATCTTTATTGTTGGCAACTTTAAAGTCCATCACAAATGCCAACGCAGAAATTAGCAAAAAAACTTCTATAGTTGAGACTCCTCGAAAGGTGTTATCCCAGAAATCCAGACGTGGCTGCATCCATTTTCTAATCTAACAGACTTCCTCTTTTTTTTTCTTCTGTTCTCTTTCTCAAGCTGTTTTCTGTTTTTCTGCTTGTATAGTTACACATTCCCAAAATGCTACAGTAACTGGTTCAAATCATTTCAGCAATCAGATTACAATGGCACCTTTACTGAAATCTGCATAGCAGTTCTATAAAGATGACACTGAAAACAGCTGTCCAGGTACTCCTATTTACAGGAAAAAAACACTTATGAATGAGCACCATGGGTATGGAAGTCACAAGTATTTCAGAGTAATTTAGGACAAAATGGACTAGATTTTCAGAAATGTTTAACTATCTTGTGCCCCATGATGCTTGATTTTGGAGTGAAAGTTGTCCATATTTTCTGTAAGTTAGGATCTTTTAGTGGGAAAGAAGAAGCGCCCAGCAACTAGCGGGTGAGAAAGATATGGTTTCAAGAAGGAATGGGGGGAAAAAAACCACCAAAAATAAGGAAGTTACTGGAAAAAAAAACAAAACCAAAAACAAAAAAAAAAACAGAAGAACAGGACTGTGAATCTAAAAATGACAGAAAGGATGAAATGAAAAAGCTAAAAAATAAATGGAAAATGAAACACTGAAACAAAGGGAAATAAGTATACTACTCAAGTCTCTATTTGCAATTAAAATCTCACACTTTAGGATACTTAGAGACACTGGAGGCCTACTGAAATATTTTCAGTATAATAATTTATAAGTCCATTTGGGTTTTATGAGCTTTATTCCCCAGCTGGAAGCAATGGTTGGACAAGCAGCTGAGAGGGCAGAGAGGCAGGCACTGCACCCCTCACAGTGGTGAGCACCCCAGGGGGACTGGTGGGATGTAGCCAGTTCCCTGGACCAGAGGAGGAAGCATGAATTTCATTGTGCCCTCTGGGAATGCCTGGTGAGGGTGAATGGCAAAAGCAGCTCCAACTCTTTAGGGTGTCAGCTCCACACCGAGTGCACCTGGAGCAAGGCATCGACTGATGCACAGAGGGAAGTCTAAATACACATGTGCACCAGCCCAGGCCACGGGGAAAGGGACAACCCCAGAGCCGACAATGATACTTCCTTCTCCCACGAGATTATTTGGCTTCTTCAGTCATGGATATTCACTGGCATTTGCTTCCAAGAATAAACTCTTAAGTGGACTGACTCTTGCAGTAGCTGCAATTAATCAAAGTCAGAAAACATGGTCCTTGGAGAAAATCTTCCCAAACAGCTAAGGTCCCAAGGGGAAACTTGTTGCTTCATGTCTTTAGGATCAAACACAATTACACCGATTTAGAGAATTTGCATCCATTATTTTTCATTTTAATCCAAGAATTTTTTGCTATGCTCACCAAACTGAGCTGAAGGAGGAGCATGCTGTCCAAGGACAGTGACACATTCCTTGTATACTTTGATGTCTATTTTTGCCAATTTGGGTATTGTTTGAGAGAACCACTGCACATTAAAGAAGGAGCAGACAAAATGTATAGAAATATTTTGATTTTTAAAGCCATAAAGGACCATAAAATTACCTAATGTCATCGGTCAGATGAACACCACCAGTCTGAACTTTTATCCAGTCACTTCAAGATGGGATTCTATTGTGTTTGACACTACCTTTGAAGACTGCAAGGCATGAAGAATTCACCCTTTCCTTTGATATTTTCATTAATTATTAATCATCTTCACTTACATAAATCTGTGCCTTTTCCCACTTCAATGAGCCTGGTTTTTCTTCAATACACTAATCTTTATTATGTCTCTTTCCACTACATTAAAGAGCCTATTTATGTTCTCCCAGAGAAAGTATACAAGTTTAACAAAATAATTTCTCTATATTGATTTGGATGTATCAAAAAAATGTAGTTACTATTAATTTCCCCACTGTCAACTGCAATAACTGCACTATTGATTGCTGAGTGGCTGTAACTAAGAGAAGTGTTCAAGAAAGCCAGAAAGAAAATCATCAGCTTAAGTCACACTGACATTACTTTATGACCCTTTTTCCTGATACTCAGGCCTAGTTGCATTCCTTGTGTAATTACCTTGCCAAAATTCAGAAACAACTTCATCAATGGTTAATGAAACCAGAATCTTTTTTATTAAGGACATAGTAAATGTAATTGTTGCCATATATTGTTCTTAATTGTTATCTCTTATGGATCAAGTAAAGGTGATGCTAATTATAATTGTAAGATCTTGAAGTGTGTCAGTCTTACCATTAGATGATCATTTACAATCATTAACTCAATGTATTTTGTTTCTTCTTCAACTTTACGTGGAATCTGACGAACCTACAGAGAGAATATAACTCTAAGGTTAGAGTCTTACAATACAGACAGAGTGTAACTGGTACCAAACACCTGCACTTAGTGGCTCCCCCACTTTAATAAACAGGGAATGAACTCTCAGTTGAGAATATTTATTTTGAATCAAAATAAAGTGAGCTACTTGTCACTATTGTAACATAAAAAAATATATGTATTTCATTAATGGAAGTTTCTGATAAAACTCTATACTCAAAATAAGAGAAAACAGTTTTTCATTTGGAATTCAGCATTATTTAACAATTTAATAACTCTTCAAGTAAGCAATGTCCAAGAGAACCCAACAATGTTCAGCCCACATTACATATCTCTTTTTGTAACAGTTGCATTGATATAGAGACCTCGTGCCAAACCAGCACAAGCAGCAGAACTCCATGTGGGCAAATTAACTCAGCAGACATGAAAAAAACTTGATGGCATATTACTTATAAACAAACATATTGGCACATACCTGCCTTTTCCTTCTTTTGTGTCTTGGCCTTACAACAAAATTCTGTGATGTAGCATTCATCTGCCAGAACTCTAAGCAGAAAACACAGACAAATACACTGAATATTTATAAGAATATATTCCAATAATTGGTGACCCTGATGCCACACAACCGTATTATGGCATTCTTCAGCACATCAGATGCAGTAACAACTCATTTTTTAAAGTTTCCAACTAGAAAGGAGGCAACGTTACAGATGCTTCTCAGTAACAGGGCTCTTATTAAAAACTCTACTAGTGATAATCTGGGTCTGTTGAAACAGATGATCTGTGGGTGTCACACTTCTGAAAGCACAGCAGATGTTCTATGCCAAAACTTCACCAACACTGGGCATGAAATATAATTAGCACAGTGCTTCCATGGAGTGAATAACATTTTCAGGAATTCAGCAGCCATTGACAGAGTTCTTGCAATAGCTACCTAAATTAATAAGAAGAGCATGGAAGGCAGAATTAATGCTTTAAGACGATTATATTCTCAAAGTAAAATATGTCAGGGCTGGGAGAAACCATATAAGATTTGGCAATGCTCACTTATCAATACAATATTCCTCCCTGCTAATCCCACTGTGTCTTTAATTTCTTAAACCTCTAATCATACGCACCAAGTAGTTTATTCTTTTGCCAAATCCCTTCACCAAATCTATTACTAGCCACTCATGGAAAAGAACACATTATAAATTAAGCAGAAGACAATACTTGTTCTCACCCTTTTAAATGTCCAAGAAGTAATTTTCCATCATTAATCTTAGATTCATAGTCGCTGCCTCTCTTTCCCTATACAAAAGAAATCTCTTTCCTTATCTTGTATAAACGTGTTTGCTACTCATATAACCCCGAGATCTTTCTTTGAGACATGTAAATTAAATGTTTGCTTCATTTGTAATATTTCTTTTTCCCTTTACTGACTTCACACCAAAGGCTCCCTATTTATAGAGACCCTATAGAGACCTGCAGTCTCTTGAGTTTGCAAAGGTGAGAAACTAAATCTTGAAAACTTTCTTACAGTGTTGTTTTTATTATGCTTTATATATGTTAATTAATTTAGCATGTGTTCTGGTGCCACACAACTGGATCTTAACCTGTCATTTTTGGTTTAATAACATGAGTAATGAAACTGGTAAAAATAACACTTTTCAACTAATAAAAAAATAATTTACAATACGTACACGGGGTCTCAGATAACTTTACCAGCAAATGTGATTGGTTTACCACCATTGGAAGTCAGTCATCTCCAGAGGGAAATGATGCAGCCATTAATGTTAACACATTAACACATTAACACTGTGTTATAATTCACAAGCTGGATGAATTCACACACAGTACATTTCCAGCCAAGAGCCTTCAGGCAACAGAACATGACCAGCAAAATCACTGAAAGCCCAACAGATATTTTGATGGGAGTAGTTTACCTTGAAAAACTGTAATGAGGATTCGCAGTCATAGAATCATTTTGGTTGGAAAAGACTGCTAAAATCATTGAATCCAACTATAAACCAAACACTGCCAAGTCCAATTAAATCATGTCCCTAAGTGTCACACCTACACATTTTTCAAGTGATGTCAAAAAAAAAAAAAGGGACATCTGTTACACGTTATTTGAAAAATAGCACCTTCAATACCATAGTGTTATCTAAGGCTGTATCTAAGGCCTTACAGGTTGTGGGGAAAAATATAGTCTAGTAAATACAAAGTCAAATGCTCTAAGCATGCCAAGTCATCCATCCAAGCTTTCCTTATTTAAAGCCCTATTACCTCTCAGACCATTCCAAAGTACTGTACAATAAAATCTTTTGTGCAATACCTTGCTTTTTTTTAATACACAAGGAGCAAAAGAATGTAAAAAGTACATTGCTATCAATGATAGTGATATTGTAGTATAACAGTGTGTGCTTTTACTATCACTGATAGCAAATAATCCCTATTACTTGATTTTTTTTTTCCTTTCTAACATCAATATTGGAGCTGATGATACATCCAGTTCATTCCTAATGCAGTGCTGAGTGGAAATCTTAGCTTATACAAACATTCTTTCAAAGATAAGAGGAAAATCTTGGCTTCAAGGAAGATTCCCTTAGGCTGGTCAAATTGATAAATTACAAGAGTAATAAGGAATGTAAGAAATACTGATGACATACCGTAGCACAATGTTTGCTACTAATAATAATAATTCTGCTGTAGTACTTTTTAAAAAATCAATCATAACAATACTATTAGCAATTAATTGCCAATATTATTTAAAGAAAAAAAGACAAGTCAAGACAACGCTCTGCACTCCTCAGCACTGGAAGGGAAGAGGCAGGACCACGCAGAGACATCGATGGGGCTCTCGTCCTCTGGAGCTGTGGCTATGCATGGAGGATGACTTAAAGAGACATAAATTGAATAAACACTGACAAAGAAAAATTGTGGGATTCTTAATGAGGATGTATTATAACTATGGAAATTTTCACTACAAACCTCAGAAACACCTTTTCAAACAATTTTACAAAAGCAAGTATGGGCATATGGGAAAGCAGACTGTGAGTTAAAGTTTATTTATCCATACATGGTATACTAAACATAAAGATTCATTCTTCAGAACCAAAATTAGGTGAGCCAGTTGTAGCAATTTCCCTTGGCTTTTTCCTCATTAGCTCTCTGAATTATTCTACTTTGCTTGACAACTACCAAACCTGCACACACTCTGCTCCAGGGAAGGACCATTCTATGTGCAGTACTCAGCACCATAAGATCTCAGATTCCACTGTTACCACAGGACAAAAAGTTTGTAACAAGAAGACTGGACATTCATAACTCTCCTGAAGAAATTAGTCTAGAGGTAGTTTGTACTAAAACATCAGTGTTTATGACAAAAAGTTTTATTTATCTAGGATATATATCGTAGAGTAGGAAAATGCATCTGTAAAATTGGCAGATCCTTGACAGAATGGGGATATGTCATAAATACTGCAATTTTAGCTTCAATTAACATGCCAACTTCTCAGATGAAAACTCATTTTTTTAAAAACCCCTTCTCCATCCATACAAAATATGAAAGGTTCGTGGGCATTCATCATACAAACACTTGAAACCACTTCTGCCTCTAAATTCATTTGCACTGAAATGCATGGCTCTTATTAGAGCCAGTACTGTGAAAGATGCTGATTGGACTGGAGATGAGAGAGTCACTGAACAGCAATGACATTTGGCAAGTTCTTGTCTCCCATGCTTATGCTCACACCATGGTACTTGCTCTGTATCTCAAAACAGGAAAAATTCATGAAGAGTTATCAACCACTGGCAATGTAAGGTTTATTTTTATCATCTTTAGGCTACCTCAATCCTTTCCGCTCTACAAATACTAGCACATAATTCACTCCATACACCACATGATTTTTTTAAGAGAAACATATATCACAACATGAAGTTCTAGGAGAGGTTTCATTCATTGGATTCAGGGTTCTTTTAGCACTTCCGTCAAAATCTTTTTTTTCAATGCCTTTTTACTTAATTGGGGAAAAGAAGATACATACAAAGAAACAATATACTATCAGAAGATGATCTATTAAATACCATTAACAAATTTGGCCTTAGAATAAAATTTCATAAGTCATGAATAGTAAAAAAATCATACCAGATGGTAGGTCATCAGAAGGAAACTCAAACAACTTGGATTTGTAAACAGAGTGGAAATGGAAGTCATCCTGTAATAGTAAATAATTGCAAGAATTAAACTGGGAAAAACGAATCCATCTCATGAGCCTTAAATAGACAATTCCAAAGGTTCTTGTTATCCAACACGTATACCAGTGAACATGCAAGTTGCAAGGCACCATTCTTCTCCTTCACCCAGCTATAACATGATCACTAACATCACAGTTAATCGTCTTTCACTGGAAATATCTGAGTACATCAGAGTGGCTGAGCATGCCTAAAACTAGGCTTAAGGGAGCTGCCCAGGGAGACTCAATGAGAGTTGCAGGAGGTGCTGACCTAGAGTCAAGGATGAACCAGGAGGAAAACGATGTAATGAACCCACAGTTGGAAGTGCCAGAGAAGGGGACAGGGCTTCTGTTGCTGGCTCCAAGGGACCCTCGTCACCCTCTGTGCTGCACTGCTCTACAGCCAAGTGTTACGGAGTACACACAAACATATATACCACTGCCTAATTTTTGTCTGTGATGATGGAGACTTACATATGAGGTAAATGAGTGGAGAATGAGGAGATGATCCTTTGGTCCCACAGCCTTACGCCTACCCTGCACCCATGGATGACTGTAGTCAACAAATACAGCAGGACTACTGTAAGGTCTACTTACATCTGAAGTGTAGTTCTCATCTGGCTCAATAAGGTAAGTATGATTTCCATCATAGAACATCCCACTGTCAAGAGCAGGAAATGTAAATACTGATTTACTAAACAAATACTGGTGCAACATGGAATTAAGTTTAAGAAGTTCATATACTTTAAAAATTTAAATATTTAGAAAAGGAAGCAGTTAAAACTGGTTTCAGGAACTGAATGCAATTTCAGATCAATCTTTTGTTTCTTCACTTCAGAAAGAAAGATTTTCTCCTGTGGTTAAACAGACTGTTCTTTCTTCCACAAATCTTCTCTACAACATATACAAACACCAAAAAATGGACTAATTTAGCCAACTGAAAATCCAGTTCAAAGCCCCCACTCCCATGTAAGAGATATCTACCTTCAACAGATAAGTAAACGACCTGTCTTTATGAACATGCATATTTGGAACATAAGAATAGCTTTCCTCAAATAAAAACATGTTATTTAATTGAATTAACCTTAGGTTTTAATGGGTTTTATTAACTCTTTCCTCAGCATTTCATTTAAAGATAGTGTTGATACTGGTATTACAGTAAGAGCATAAAGTCAAAGAGTATTTCTTATATCACTACCACTCTGATCTTCAAGCAAATCAGCATATTTTTTTAATAAATCTGCCTTTATTTCAGTGGCATACATGCATGGTTGGGATTAGGTTGTATCAGCCTGTCCCTTTCAAAGAGCCACTACTAAGGTCTTTAAGCTTGGCCATAAATATGAACTGTGAACTCAAATTAGGCACATAGCCCTCAACAGCAGCACAAAAGCAAGATTATTTATTTATTTGCATTACTCTTAAAAAAACCCAAAATAAACACTGAATTATAAACAACAAAACCAGATACTTTTCTTTTTTCTTATGCAGCAGGTTTTCCTAATCGGCAAAATTGACAATTACAGAAGTATCTTGGGTTATTGACTGTATAACATACATCAAGTGTGAGCATGAGTAATTTCTAAACTGTAAAGCTGTTTCACCATTCAAATTACCTGTGCCTACTCTTTAGAAATAAATACTGTCTACACATCTTACGTGAAATATTCTAGCACCTGCTGAAGTTTCTTTGCTTGGGAATAAGGTGAGGTTGGGGAATACCCTGTAGCTTTTTATCAGGCAAAACTTCCTTGTAATTGCAATTTTAGTTAAGCGCAGTCTGCAAGACAAAGCTCTATCAGCAAACAGTTTCTCGTGATACTGCTGCACCCAGCAGCACTGATCTCTGATCAAGTCACTCAACAGTGACAACAGTAACAGTCACAGCTGACCTACAGATCTGGCTTGTCCTCTCAAAGCATTAATGGCTCTCTTCCAAACAACTTCAACAGCCCAGTGTGCTGTGAATAAACCCTATGCTCACCGACGTGTTAGAGAGAAACCAACACCAAAACATGGGCCATTTCAAAAACCTGCATTTTGATGATGTATCGTCTTCAAACAATCAAACTTGTAGCCATGAAAGTCAAATTTGCAGCAGTAACGGCAGTTTTAACACTCACCACCAGCTGGCAGCAAAATCTCAGACCTGCCCGCTGTCTGTGCCCTCTCCTCCAAACCCAAGGCTGCCTGACTATAGCTTATTTATATCCCAGCAACCGCTGTGTTTTGCATTCAAAGTCTTTTTTGTGTTAACCCATAGGAAACCGTGGTTACTGCACATCCCACAGAAAACAACAACAAAAATCCAAACAAAACGGCTCGCTGGAAGTTAAGGTTGCAAAGGTACCTTTGTCATTAGTAAAGTCATTAAGAGAAGACATTCATAATTGTAACTATTCTGTCAGCCAGTCATCCGATCAATTTAACTAATAAAAGGAAGCACACAAAATAGACATTACCCACAGAAGAACTTATAATTTATGATTAAAAAACCCCAACATTTTCTCACATGTATGAAAAATTCTGCTGTTACTGGCCGAGATCCAGAGGTACTAATATGCAAGAGAAGAGACTGGCATGAACTTCGAGAATATGAAGCTTGTTATTCGATTAAAGGCATCTGTTCTGTCTTATGCACTTCTTAAAATTCATGAAAGTAAATGTCCTGCCCTGTAGACCTTACCAGAAGACAACTCTTCCCAGATTCCCTTATTCCAGCGAGGCGCTCCAAACTGTGGTTGAAGTGAAGGAACTCTGATTGCCAGTGTGAGTTTCTAGTAATTACTTATCATTTAAATTCGAGTGTGTAGGAACTAGTTGTAATGACAGAAATGCAGTGTCAGAGAACGTGAGTTTAATACAGCTCAGGAAAGCATTACTTTTTCATACTGGATGCTCTAATTACCAGCCTGCTAGAGAAAGATTGTGAAGGATAACTCTGCTGAAACTTTATTGTAATAGGAAAAAAAAAGGGGGGGAGGGGAGGTTGAGGAGGGGAAGATAACTCTCAAGAGAGAGCTCAATCACACAATTAAAAAAATGCATCATTTTTGATGCATCATTTTGACCAATTTGAATATCAGGCCATTTAAGAATACATAGCAGCAGGATGCTCAGTCTTAAGAATAAACCCACAAAAAGAGGGCAGGGAAGGACAGATGCAGGCTCTCCTTCCTTCCTGCTTTTTCTCCTAGGAGTTAGCAGGGGCCAGGACCTAATGGATCATTGCTAATGGAAGCCATGCAGTGGCTCAGGATGCATTAGGATGCTACTATTTTTAGTCTCACTGTCCATACTGAAACTGGGTTCAAGTTTCTTGAGCTGCACAGCTGTTAATCAGGTAAGTGCAAGGATGCAAGCCTTCTGCATGCATTCTAGCCCTTCCTAACAAAGAACATACAAGTATAAAAGAAAGACACTACTTAAATATACTACTAAATAACACTACTTAAATATATGTACTTATATGGTTGATACCAGAACTACAGAATAGCTGAAGATAGACAACAGGCTGAAGATTTCCATCAGCTAAGCCCCATTTCTGCAGAAAAAGGCAAAGCTCACATAACCTTCACAAAGATTCACTTGCTGCTGCGACTTTTCAAGCTGATCTCAGTATCAAAAGTGCTGAGATCCTGTAATTCCCAGATGCAACAGGCACTGAAGTTGCTTGGTTGCTCTGAAAACCTGACCAGTATCATTCAATAGTACCAAAAGTAGACAGGTCCAAAAGTTGTACAATCAATAACACAGCTTAATGTAACCTTCAGATGATAGATGCTTTAATTATATTATCACTAAAATTATGAAATTCAAAGCAAAATTATTGCACCATTTTATATCTTTCCTTCTAGATTTTTCAAGATTTTACTATATCAAAGGTATTTATTCAATGCCACGACTTAAGGCCAGCAATTCTGTTTAAAAAAAAAAAAGGATAGTACAAAATAAACTCTAAACTGACATTTTCTTTGTAAAGAAATTAGAAAAGAAAGATAATATACATCATTGTAGCAAAAAGAAAAGACATCATTTCCAAATGGTACACTGGTATTTTTTTCATTCTTGTAGAATAGGATGTTTTCAGCTACTTCTACTCTGTTGTCTCTAATAAATTATCTTAAAACAATACCTGGCCACTGCCATAAGTACTCAGTTTGAAAAAAAAAAAAAATCTGAAGATTGTTGAGTACTTAATATTGGTGACAAACTAGTAGGAAAATAGCATTTATTTTATTATATACATATATTATTTTACTATAAATAGCTTTACTTTCCTTCAAAGAGTAATAAAAAAAGGCCAGTAAAACCAAAACAGCAAACTTACTGTAATCCATGGCATGTTGACAAGGCAACAAATGATACAGGATTTCCTCGAATTTTTCCCTGATAATAGCAATGTTCTCCTCCCTGAAATTGGAAATTGAGACTGTAAATCCACAGTATCACACACCATACTGTCAAACACTGTTTTTCCACAAACACATATCCAAGCCACTCACATGACACCAGGAATTGACTATCACTCACAAGGGTGTTCATCCCATCTCCTTTTAGCCATGCTTTCGTACTTAGACAAACACCATCCTGACATGCTACACCGAATGGAGATATGAAATCCCTGATATCCTGAGACAGATTTCAGAGACAAATTACTCCAGAAGTGCTTCTTCATTGACCAGGAAGAGTTGGAAGTAGGGGGCTTAGCCTCAGCATCTGCTCTGCACATGGCTACATCAGACAAGATGAACTCTTCTCTGAGGGTAAGGCAATTTCCTTCTTCTGAGGAGAAAGGTATTTTACCAAATAATAACCATAGAATCCCAGATTATTCCGAGTTGGAAGGGACCCACAAGGATCATCGAGTCCAACCCTTAGCCCTGCACAGGACCATGCTCAACAGTCACACCATGTGCCTGAGAGTATCATCCAAACACTTCTTGAACTCTGTCAGGCTTGGTGCTGTGACCACTTCCCTGGGGAGCCTGTTCCAGTGCCCAACCACCCTCTGGGTGAAGAACCTCTTTCTAAGATCCAAACTAAACCTCCCCTTACACAACTTTAAGCCATTCCCTCAGGTCCTACGACTGGTCACCACAGAGAAGAGAGCAGTGTTTGCTCCTCCTCTTCCTCTCATGAGGATGTTATGCTTCATTAAAAAAAAGAGTAAATCAGAAGTAGTCACTAGGGTAACAAAAATAATGGAAAGTCTAAGAGTAACTAAGCAGTAAAGAAATACAATGAAAACAAATATCTGCCTCTTCTGCAAATAAAATATACACCTTTCAAATCAAATCCAGCAGACCCTATTCAAAAAGTCCCCCTAGTTTCACTGATAAGAATGGAAGCCCTACTGCATGTGCACCAAATCTGATTAGTATTGAACCATGTCAATACTTGTATGCAGAATTAGAAAAAAAATCCAAACTTCCCTTAAATTCTCACTGTCACTCTACCCTTCAGAAGAACTTACCTATTAGTGCCTTACCAAATTCACCTATGTTGTAATGCACTAATGTTGATTAAAGGACTAAGAAGGAGATTTTCAGTCCACTTTTTTTTTAATAGCATTTATTTTCAAATACTTGTTTCATCAAATGTGTAAATAGTCTACCTAGCCTAATGTACCCAGCCATGTGAATATTTATGTCCATTTACTGCACAGAGGGAAAGGCATTACAATTACAGCTTTCTCAGAAGCCAGCAGTCACTTGCATGATGCATAGCACAGTCATTTTAGACATCTAACATTAAATGCTCTTGCATTTTATGTTTCAAACATGAAAAAAATTATCAAGATGAGGCAAAAGGCGAGAAAATACAGAGAATCTGTAGGTAGTTTTGTATTTTGATTGGGAAATCCTGTTCTGTTTTCTACAAGATGAGCAAACTGTTTTTGAAAGCAGCTACGAAGTATGGATGCCACTGGTATGAGGTGCTCTCCTTAAGAGAGTATAGGAGCCTATACTCCTATAGGAGTATATCAGAGCACGGCTGCACGCAGGGGAAAGGACTTGACCTCAGCCTGATCACTGGAAATTGCTAGTTCCTCTTCAGAATCTTCACTGGAGGGTCCGTGCATGCTATGCTGGTGCCAGACCCCAAAGCACCAAGGCAGAACACCCGAGGCAGCAACAGCAGCAGCACTGCAGAGAAATGCAACTCCTGACCCAACACATTACAAGTGACACTATTTGGCAGGCTCGTTGCTTCACTCAGTGAGAGAATCCCTGTGGCATAGCTTCTGTTAAGTGTTACACTTTCCCCCCCCCCCAATTTCATTTCATCTCATTATTTCTTCTCTTCTACATACCACTTTTTCCTTCCACTTGCTGCAGTGACTGCAGCCACCTTCACTGCCTATCTATCTTGGCATCTTTGCCTTTGGTACAGACACAGAACCTTCACCAAACTGACCTGTACATTAACCACCATGATCCCCATCATGGCACCTCTCTGCTCAGATGTCTGAAAGAAAACTGGTGCCACACAGGTAATGTTCTGTCTCATGTTGGTGAGAAGCTCCGGGGCTGACCCGCACCAGGCTACAACGGAGTGTCTGGCAGAAGGTGTAAAACCCATCACCCTTAGACCAGCATTTCTCAGGACTAACAAGGGTTTGGGACACAGACCAAGTACAGTGAAAAGGAGGTGGTTTGAGTTTCTGCTTTGCACTCACATGCATTTCAGCCACCAACATCCCAAGTTACATTAGATTTCAGACCCTATATTGTTTTTGCTGAAACCTTGGCTCATTTTCTCCATTTTATTCTCCTTTTTTACACCTACTTACTTCTATATCTTAGTTACTTATAGCTCTCTTCATTTGAGATTTTCTTTCTTTCAATCTGTAGGGTGTCCCCCACTACAGGATCATGAGACTACTTAAGGCTTTCAGGTCTTTTTTGGAATATATGAATAAGAAGTGAACAAAGAGAAATTCCAATAAGTAAATAACAAAACTAACAATCTAATTATGTGGATGATCTAAAACCTTATGAGTAATAAAATACTCTCTAAAGAGAATTCTTGCAGCAGTACTCCTGTAAAAGATATAACTGGAATAAGTGCATGAATATGGGAATAATGTTGAAAAGACTATCAGCAGGGAGTTGTAGAGAGTTCTAGCTGTGGAAGGATTTTGGAGTAATTACACAAATTGGTTTGTTCTCAGAAAATGTAGTTAATATGTACCAGAAATAGAATCTCAGGCTCCATTAGCTTGCAAAACCGTGTTTTTGCAAATAGGAGGAGCATTTTTTCATACTAAGAATCCAGTCTGTGGCTCAAAAGTGTGTTTTGATCTTCTTAATGAAAATCAAATAAATGCCCCATGGCAGTACCTTCAAATTAATTTATTCTGTAATAAATCCATGGGAAAAAATTTACGCATACAGATCTAGAAAAGAAAAATATAAGAAAAATGTCTCTAAATTCTTGCCTAGGAAAAATATAACTCAGACACACAACTTCTATTCAATCAAATCAATTCAACTCAACTCATTGATCTACTGAAGTTCATGGTAGTTCTGGTGGAGACAGAAACAACTGGGATCTCCATCTCAGGGACCAATTCTTATCACTACAAAACATTCACTTCTATATGCTGTCATCTAGGGGATATTTTTTATGTATGTACTTATGTTCCTATCACCATAATGTAAGTCCCTTCAAACCAGTTAATAAAATCAACTTCAGTTAATAAAATTTAATTTCATTTCTTCAAATGAAAATAGTTTTCTTTCAAGTACTTATAATGCATTAGTGGTATGTTGGTTTCTTTCTGAAGAGAACTCTTCAGCATAAGAAATCCTGCTGTCAGGATACTCCTAAGTGAAGTTCTGAGGATTTTTATAATCTCAGCAAGGAAGTAGGAGGTGATGCAGTGACATCAAATGGCACAAGCACTGGATGGCTCTGGGAACAGTGATTACTTACCACTCCTTACCATGTATCAAGTGGACAAAACATGCCAGTAACATGTGGCATGTGGTGGGAAGGGTATAAATTGTATATTTTCTATATGGAAGACTCATTTTCAACAGTTCACAAAATTGGTGGAGAGAGAAGCACTTAAAGTTACAAATTCTGAGACTGGAAGTGTTGAAGAAACCACCAGATGTGGTTCTTAGTGCTGTGGTTTTGTTGGCATAGTGGTGTTTGGTCAAAGGTTGGACCCAATGACCTTGGAGGTCTTTTCCAACCTTAATGAGTCTATGATTCTATGGTTCTGTACTAAGAGTCAGGGACTCTACAGGTCAGTGTTTTCTTTAGGGTACATGTAACTTTGGACAAGAAGTTTACTGTCATTGCCTTCCTGTACTGCTGAGGCTGAAATCATGTTGGGTTTGACGTGTACTAAAGCTCTTTTATAGCAAGTGCTGTAAAAAAATATACTGTACTAGAGGAGGAATCACAGTATATGGGAGATGTAAGACCACTAAAGGACTAAATGTAATCATTATATCTCTCTCCTTTTCCTCTGCTCTTGGAACCACTCCCTAAGGACTAGGGTTGTCTCTCTTCTCTGTTGGTATCTGTAGCATTAAGACAGAAGCTGAAAAAAGATCTTAATTTTTTTCCTACAAATATTCTGGCCCCATATGAAAATTAAGACTTCCCCCATAGGGAAGAGTTGAAATCAGCATCAACGGCAGTTCAGTCCAGAACATCAAAGGTGTTTTGTGAAGAGCTATTGGCTTCCTGTAGCTATTAGAGCATCTCTCTGCTCTCTCAAAAGCAGGCAATAATTGCCCATCTCAGCAAATCAAACCTCCACACCTGCCTTTGTCAGCTACTGGGGAATGGTTTTGTGTAAGATAAGAGGAAATCAGACGCTCTTCTAACATATGCCAGCCATAAGTGTGAGCGGCACATTTACCGTTTCTGCTCTAAAATTGAACCTGGCCAGTATGGAGTGTGGGAGGAAATTGGGTTAAATGTCATCTCCTATGAGACAAGGTCAGCCTGGTGACAATGCCTGTGACACAAACCTGTAACCCACACAGGCACACACTCACACCATATCCAAGGGCACACTAATGCTACAGAGACAAGTTCAACATTTTTGGCCCCACAAGGTGCTCAGCCACTGTTCATGCTGTGGTTTGCATCATGCAAGGCAAATTTTCTGCCAATGCCATTGGCACTCTTGTCCATTTCCTTGCATCAGTAAGTTATCCTTCCTTCATGAAACTTCTCAGCCTTATCGGTGACATCCAAGAGCAATACAAAATATACACTTGTTTAACAAGGAGTCTATTGAATTGGAGAGATAAAAGTGTAATAACCTCCTACAAAAAAAAATAGAAGAAAAAAATCAGAATGACCCCAGGGTCAATTAAAACAAATTAATCTTTATGATAGTGGTCACTTTGTGATATAATCTTCATCTTGATGCTTCATTTGCC